CCCCCCCCCGTGGCAATACAAAAGACTTGTAAGTGCACGTTCATGAGCACAGACTGAGGGCTGACACCAATAAAATTTCCATTCATTTGATAAATTTAAGACAAAATCTTAATAAAAATAAAGGAAAAATATTTTAGAGCAAAACTTTTATGAAATGTTGGAAAGGTGTGCCATTCTAACCTTCCAATTTTTCCAATGACTTCACAGAGAGGACTTGCAATATCTTTTCAATTGCCACGTCCGACAACTCAGCGGATTTAAGCTCTTTCTTAATGTCATCGATAGGCATCTTTTCCAACTGCAAAGTAAAGTTAAGAGCGATCAGAAGAAACAGAAAAACTTGGTGCAAAATTAAAAGAAGCAATGAAGTTTCCACAATCATACCCTCAGCTGTTTAGAGGACCTATTAGAACATTGATCACTTACTCATTTGTAATAAAATAACAGTTTAGCACCAAGGAAAAGAGTAATGTTACAGAAGAGTTTCTGCTTGAATTATTGCTATTTCTTGCTACAGTCCCATCACACACAAAATATCTTTCTGCTTCCAGTGGTCCAGCCTGACTCATCAAGCATAACCCTTAACTTCTAATGCAAAAGTGTGAATTTTTCTTGAGAATTAGATCATGAGATTTCAATGTCTGGGTCAAGTGAGACACAATCTCTCCGTGTGACAGTGGTAAACAACATTTAGATTCTAGAGTGTGGAAGACATCACATCACAGAAGAATAGAACGTATTTTGCAAGCAATAAGAAAAAATGAAATTGTTGTTCACATGTTGCTACATGACAAGTTATTGAGGGTGAAATCAAGCAACAAAAAATATGGTAAAAGATGATCAAATGGTAGATAATGCAACTTCAGAATAATACATGCCACGGAATAAGGTTGACCTTGTCAATAATTATGCACACCCTACTGAACATAGTTTCAGGAACAGAGTAGCAATTCAGTACTTCTTGCAAAACCTGTGAAGTCATAATCAGTCACACATAAATGAAACATGCCATACTTCTCCAAAACTGTTGGTTTGGATTCAAGAAGTATGTATCCTTATGCTCTGCAAGCAAACACATTACACATGCTTGCGAAGCTTAACAAAGAAAAAAGATCAACGAAAAAAAAGATGCAATATGCATCATCTCTAAGAAAACAATTATGTTCTAGATTTATTATATCTTACAAATATTTTAAGAGCGGACTTTTGTGGCGGTGTAATAGGTTGTGTCAGTAGCTTGGGCTTTATCTCTAGGGTTGAAAATGAGCATGACGTTTAGCAAACAGCCTGTGTTTGGGCCTGCTTAGTGTGTGTTCATATTTGTTTGGTTAATTCAATGAGGATAAATGAGAAGCTCATTTGAAACCGCAGGCCAATTTAATTTGTATCTTGCCAACAAGAAATAGAAAGGAGTGATTGAATTAATAGAGGTCGAGTGGCCTAACTATTGCAAGTGTGCACGCCCCTTAGGCTGAAACAACTACAAGTTAGTAAAAAGGTAAGTTAACTACTACAATCTGGAGTGGGTCATGCGATGTTAGGGCTTCTATCTCTATCCTCTATAGTGGTTAAAGCAGCCTCTTCCTCCCTTGATGGGAGAAAATAATAAGGATGGATGCAAGTGCCGTACAGGCGTGTAAGGTGTTAAAGACACATTTCACCTTTTGACCGCCCGCCTCTTGCCTCAAAAAAGGTCCTCTCGCCTTTAATAATTATGCCGTTGTTAAAGCGGTGATGGTCATTATTGAAGAAGTGCGGAAAAGTTAGACTTGTGTGTTGATGGCGGTATGGGTTTGGTGCAAGGTGAGTTGGAAGAGAGGGGTTTACAACAGCATCTGGATTTGTCGAGCAAGGTTATATAAGCTATTATTCCGTATACAGTATATTTAAAAATAATAATAATGTTTATTGTTTTTAGCAGCACATAGCTGCTACTTTGGAAAGAAAGCTAGGTGATGCTACCTATGACTAGGCCCTGTGTTTTAGTTCATAAGCTGCAATTATTACATGCACACGCGCACGTATGGCATGTGTGTGTGTTGTTTTCTGCTGGGGAGGGGAGAAAGTGTACTTACCTTCCGACTAGAGACCTTAAATCCAACGTCCGAAGCTGTGATGCCAATGCGTTTGAAAAAGGTTATGATTGAGGATATAAGCTCAGCTTCAGCCTGTATAAAAACACAAGAGAAACCATATTCAAGGTGCACCATAAAGCTAGAAACAGTGTTGCCCAATGCGCTAGGCACCCAACAAGCACTAGAGTGACCCACGTAGAAGTACTTAATAAAATGCCTAGCAGTGATTTGATCTAGGGACGCCTATCGTCCAAGTACACAATGGGCTAAAGAGTACTTAAAAGTCTGTCCTGGGTGTGTGTGTGTTGGGGGGGGGGGATATTATTAAATAATATAACTCAAAGCAGCTAAAGTAACTACTCTGTATCATAGAAAGTCCTAGTAGTAGTTATTAAAATTAGTAGAACATCCTGCAATGTAAAACAACCTTAGATTAAAAATATAACTGAAATAAGTCGCATCGGTGGTCAAAAATCTAGGACAAATAGTCTACATTGTTAGTCATGATAAAGAATACCATTTTAGTCTCTTATTTCCAAGATATACAGATCCCTGAATGTCGACTCTGGCATAACATTCCAATAATCAAAAAGCATTAAATTTACTGTAAAACTACCATAGCGAAAACTGAAACAGCCAGAAATATCTTTTATGATGGTCTTCACATGTAAGTAATTAGAAAACAGTATTAATTTAGAACAAAAGTACAATTGGCATACAGTAACATCAGGCACACCAATGATATCCATGTTCCACTGGTAATGTTCACGACGTCGGCCCCTAGTCATTCTCTCATAGCGCCAGCACTGCCCAATGGCAAACCATTTTAGTGGAAGAGGCACTGATTTTCTGGACATGAAAAAAACATGGAGATCAAAGCCTGGCACAAGTACCTGGATACAAAAAAATGAATATCATATAAAAATACATATGGATATTTTGGGCACCAAACAAAGCAAATTGTTATTCCTAAAAATATACTCTGCATAATTACAAAGAAGTCATTGGCACATGAGTAATAATTCTCAGTGCACTAACACTATGTTTGATTCAAGGAATTTGAGAGGGAAAGGAAAAGAAAATGAGAAGGAAAACATTTTTCTTGTTTGGTTAGAGAGGAAAAAGTAAAAGAAAAGTGGAAGGAAAAAAAAAGAGAAGACAATATGTTTAAGAGGATTAGAGGAAGGAAAATCAAATTCCTCCCATTTTGGTTAGGAAAATGAAGGAAACTTATTTTCTTTTCTTTTCTTCCGAATTCCTTGAACCAAACATAGTGTAAATGTAGAAACGAATAAAATGATGTACCCTTTCTGCATCACAAGTCGCGCCAAGGAAGGAGTGAGTTCAGGCCTCAATGCAACTCGGCGGTTTCCCCGGTCTTCAAAACAGTAAAGCTGGCACGAAAAGAAGACAAGACACACAACAGACAACTAGAATCAATACCTTCAGTACTAAGTGTGACAAAGGTCCAATTTTTTTTATATGTAGTAAACATATCAAAAGTGACTATTGACTATATACACAAACCTGGTCTCTAATCTCCTCCCCAGCCTTCCTAATAAACAGAGTCTCTGACTCTAGCACTGGAAAATCCACCTCTTCAAACCCAAACAGCTGTGAAACCTAGAGTCCATGAAAAGAAATCATAAATGAGTTCAAAAACAATGTAGAGCTCTGCAGCATAGTGGTGGCATCATAAAGAACCATATTTTGGTGATGATAATGTATAATTAAATCCCTTTTGGTTGTATACCTTTATGGACAACAATTCTATTTCGAAACTTGATTTTGGATGAAGTCAAGGTCTTGATCTTCATATTATAAAATAAACTTCCTCAATATAAATCCAAAATGTTAATTGCATGCGACAATTTATCATTCAAGTAAGCTCAAAAGAACTATTTTCAATTAGCATTATGAATAAGTATAAACAAAACGATAGTCGAATTGAAAGCTGCTACATAAACTTCTCATGTTCATCCTAAAATTACTGAACTTTTGAAGAAAATAGAGGAAAATGTAGAAACAAATGCAGACCTCTCTGAAGTTCTGAAAGAGCCAACTGCGAAGACGCATGTCTTCAGGGGGGAAGTCCCGGGTGCCTTTTGGGGGATTGACATCTATTTTCCGCACGCCGTCAATTTGTAGCGAAGGTCCAGAGAGAGAGCCGGACCTGCCAGACCGAGAATTTGCGGCGGGCAAGGGTGCAGATGGTTCTGCACATAACGAGGTAGACGAATTGGAGAGATGTCTACAGCCGGAGCGTGACTTGGAAAAGAAAGAGAAATTCAAGTGGCCTATAGACGATAGTGCGGTGGTTAGCCGAGGGTGGAGGCGATAGTGGTGGCCGCAGAGGAGGGAAGGGATTGAAATCGCCGGCATGTCTTCTGCTTTGAGGCTTTGATTGATCACATATTAAATATAATTTAAAATAATTAAACATTATAAAAACTTGATATTCTAAATGAGCATATTTCTATAGTAGACTTGAAGTCCACTAAAGACCTACATATAAACAAAATAAATATTTCTTTACTGCTAAAATAGGTATTTGTTTTTTTAAATAAAAAAGAAATTTTTCTATGTGAGAAAATCCACAAAAATGATATGCACCAAATAAGTGTTTTTTAAAATAAATTTAATTTACTAAATTTGCATTATAACTAAAAATACTTTTTTCATTCGTAGTCAAAGGCTTTGTTTGGGACGGAGTGAGTAAGAGAAAGAAAATGAGAGAAGAGAAAATGATGTGAAAATAAAGAAAAATTAAGAGAAAATTAGTGTTTGGATTTATAGAAATATGTAAGAAAATGGTGAAAAAATAGGGGTAAAAAAGGAGAAATGATCTTTCATCCATTTTTCATCATTTATTGGAAAAAAATTTCACGTAGTTCCACGTTTTATTTTCTCTCCTCCCTCCATTATCTCACTCACTAAAAGAACTAGTTCAAACAAATGAATTTGCATTAATTTTTGTATTTTCTCATCTAACATTTTCTTTCTCAGTAATTTCTTATTATAAGAAACCACCAAAAAATCATTTCTAGCTGACGTGAGTTTTGTTGAAATAATTACTGCATTTCAAAAAAGACATCAATGGTCCTTACACTTTTTTGTAAATACTGGAAAAGAACATTATGTCTCCTATTCCATTAATGACTGTTTAAAAGATATATTTTTCGTATTATGTTCTATTATAGTCATTTTAATTACATTTATTTTTTATATCGGACAAAAAGTTCTTATTTTGTTTTCATGTGGTTGTTAGACGCATGATTGATTTAATTGGTGGAGACCACGAAGCTCACCAAGTTGGGCTCCTCTTCATTAGTCATCATTAATATCTCTTCTTGTCACACAATAACTACATAGATATAGTTCAAATGTGCTAAGATCTGATGCTAAAAAAATGGATCTTAAACCATTGATTCACCTTTTCTCCATCTTCCTGCTTATTATAAAATGTGGTGATCCTACACTTGCAATCGTGACCCTCATAAATAAGGAATTTAATTTTTTCAAGACCATTCAACTCATCTTATATGCTTTTCCAATTGCTTGCCCGTTTTGTTTACACTTAGGCCACTTCTTTTCCAATTATTAAACCCTAGGTCAATTTGCCACGAAGAACTTTTCTTTGTCGTCCCATAATTTTGATGTCTACTTATGCGATATAATTTTATAGTCATCCATCGATGGTATTGTAAATCCTTGAAACTAACATGACGTTTACAACCTACATACCACTATGTTATCTATGTGTCTTCATCATTAGTAGAAGGAGACATACATTTATCAATGAATCAAAACTTTCATTTCGTGCCTAGAGCGATTCGCAATCACCCTTGCCCATTCATCGAAGTTGTCTCCCATCATTTTGACTTAGGTGATAATTCGTCTAGGTGTACCGACATGTTTATTGTAGGCATTCACTTTTGACATTTTGTCGGTGTGTATGTACTTGTTTGTCTTCTCTGTCTAGTGTGTCGTCAATCATCATTGATGCACCGGTGGTGATAGTTTATTTTGCCGTTACTGTTGAGTTCAAGATTCATCCCGTTCAACTTATTTTTTCAGCTTATTACTTATTCTTATTAAAATGAGATTAGATCATATCAAATCAGATACAATAATATCAGATTTGACCAGGTCATATTAGAAATAATTTAGATAATTAAATATAACTACAATCAGATGAAGTCAAATCCAATTAGATTAGACCATGTCAATCGGGTAATAGGATTGTTCGCTTTGTTACAATGCTACACTAAAGACTAGATTTTTTTTTGTATATTCAATTGGTACAAAGGAATCTTTCATTGTCTAAAGTGGGAAGAGAATAACAAATTAAAAGTAAACAATGAAGATATGTAATAAGGCCCTTTTAATTGCTACGAAAAAACAATAATCCTAGCTAACTAAGGAAATAAATAATTAGAATAATTTTTAACATTGCTTGATACTTCAGAACACATATCAATTAAGTGTCTTGATATCTCCATTAACCACTCGCCACTGCCATTGACAACTCACGCCACTGTTCAACGCAAGTTATCCTACATCTATCACGGAGACACTAACAACCATCTATCTTTCAAATCTTTTCAAACATTTTTTGGATTTCAGAAATAATATTAATTTTTTCGATTTCAACACCCATATTATTTAATTTTTAAAAACTCATCAAACAGGCCTTGGGCAAGAAGTTTTTTTAAATATAAAAATAGGATGTATGAAGTTTTTTTAATGGAAGTATCAATTGGACTAAAAAGTGTAACAATATATAACTATACGAATTCTTAAGTAAAGCCTTGTTTAGGAACAATTTTTCTATTAACATTCATATTTTAGATAATTTTTCAATGATATATATTTTGAATTTGCTAAATTTAAACATTACCCATCAAATAATACTCCGTAATTTTTAAAATATTAAAACTAAATGGTGAATATGTTGACAAAAGGAGCCTTAAAACACAAATTTTCCAAGAGTAATGCTAGGGGTACACCAAAAGGTGTACTCCAAATGTACACCACCCTATTTTCCTCCACACATTTTTATTTGATTTTCATTTACTTATTTTTTTTAAATTTTTTTGCCTTTTTTAGTGGACAAAGAGTGGTGGGGATATTTGGGGTAGCATTTTTCATTTTCCAATGTGTGTGGAAGGAAATATTGAAGGAACAAGGATGCATTCCCTTCCCCTACCAAAACAGAGCCATATGCAGAAAAGTGAGAGTGACACCGAGCGTCCAATTTAAATGTGGTGGTAGCAGCCGCAGCGGAGACAGTGCATAAACGTCAAAGAAAACCTGTACGGCGGCCGCCTCTCCCCTTCTTGTTCTCAAAACCCCATCCTAGTTCTGCATACACACATTTGTTCTGAATTTGAGCGGACAAGCCATGCCCGTGAACTCTGTAACGAATGCTCACCCGCAGCTTTTGCACGCCAATGGACAGCTTGCCGGGAACAGAGACAGAGGCGGGCTGGTTTTCGTCGATTTCCTCGGATTGTACCGGAATTCTAACCAAAGGAGTCGCCTGCGAGTTGGAACCGCTATGTGGACCGACCGGAAAGTGCCCAGGAGTTTGATAAAGAGGAACTGGAACTCGATTCAGGCAGTTCTCCATTTGGAGAGCGGACGAGACAAAGCGAATGCTTCTCCCCAGCAATCCGCCGACTTCGCACAGAAGGTTTGTTGCTATGTCAGTAGCAGTATTTCAATTTTTGAATCTTCATTTTAATACTTTTAATATTTTACTCCGTAGAAAATTGTTTTTTTTATTACTATAAAAAGAAATGTTCTGATTTTTTTTACAAACAATTTTGTACTCATTCTACTGAAGCAATGAGGACATAGTCATCTTCAGTCTGCTTAGCAGAATAGCAGCATGAGCGCATGGAGTTTAATTTGTCCACTTTGAAAATTTCACTCACGGCCGTGGAACTTCCTGGAGGCTTATTTAGAATGAGCAGAAATAGAGAGAAAGATTAGTATGTTAACTGGTGAATGGTTGTTCTTGGTTTGAAGAACTGGTGAATGATTGTTGAATCACCCATGTAGCTGTCTGTTGGGTACTCTGTAAATTGATAAACAATGTGATCTGGGTTTTAAAGATGTCATATTAATCTACAATGGCAATGTAAATCAATTGCCCATTGCTTATGTTAACTGCATGGCTCTAGATGTGATTTGGTATTAGTTGTTGACATTAGAAATGACAATACAATATCACTAAAAACTTTATAGAAAAGATAAGTTACTAAAAAGGAGTAAAAAAATTAAAAAAATAATATTATAACTTGATTTTTATCACATTATATATCATATTTAAATACACAATTTTCAAAAATTCTTACCTCAACAGGTCGGTTGGGTCAGATTCAGGTTTGACCCATATTTAGTGGGTTATTTCGGATTCGGTTGTCTTTGGGTTTGTTTAACAAAATCTTTGTTTAAAACTCAGTATCAGGTGAAAAACAAGTTAGGTCAATTTTTGACAAGTCTAAGTCCCTCTCCTTACCAAAAAATGGTCATGTTTGGACACTTTGGTGAATCTACAACATTTTAACTTTGGCGAGGTACAACTCTAAAAATCATGGGATTCTTCTAATATTTTTAAAGTTTTTTTTTTGTTTAACTAAACTATAGAAGATATGAGAAGATATTTTGAGACGATATTTTCATTTTCTGTAATTTTCTTTTATGATAATTAGTTTTGGACAATTGGCATTTGTTTGTTATTCTCACCGGCTGGACCCGTTATCGCCTTTTTTATAAATAACTTTGTACTCATTTTTATGCACATGACTTTTACGCAATAACAGAAAGTTCTTCTTCTTCTTGTGCTTTCTCGTTGAAAATTGCGTTTCATCATGGTATCAGAGCTAAGGCCATTGATGTTGGGACCGCACCCGTAGTAATCTGTGCCTCGTGTGAGGAGGGCGTGTTGAGTTGTCTCATCCCACATCAGCTAAACATGCCAATATTGTGTTATATTTAATAGCTTGGGTTCCTCAACCTCTTGAGTTAACTTTTGGGGTTGAATTGGGCCCAATTCTATTATTATTTCACATGGTATCAGAGCCACACACACCTCATCATAAACCCGTCATGTCAAATATGTTTGTATTTGTTTTTGTGTGTGCCTCTGTGAATGAAATATTAATTTCGTTTATGAAATAGGTTATTTTTGGAGATAAAAGCTTTTGAAACACGACTCTTTTTCTTAGGAGTAAAAGTTTCTTGTATATATGTAAAATGATATAGATAAAGTTTGTTTTTAGTGTTTTATGAAGTTTCATTTCAATTTTTCCAAGTTTTTCTTCAAAGTTGTCTTTATAAAATTTCTACAAGTCTCTCCATACTTTTTTTTCTTATTTCAGGTTGCAACTTTGGATGACATAATATCCGAAAGAGGGGCTTGTGGAGTTGGTTTTATTGCTAATTTAGATAATAAAGAATCACACGAGACTGTTAAAGATGCTCTTGTAGCTCTCGGCTGTATGGAACATCGTGGGGGGTGTGGAGGAGATAACATTTCTGGTGATGGTTCTGGTCTGATGACTTCGATTCCTTGGGATCTTTTTAATAAGTGGGCTGAAACACGTGGAATAGCTTCCTTTGACAAGTTGCACACCGGTGTTGGAATGGTTTTTCTTCCGAATGATAATGACATGTTGAATGAATCAAAAGCAGGTGAGTTATAAATATTGCAGAGCATTGTGTTTTATGCATGTTTGAGTTTGTTTCAAGACCCACACTCATATATTGGTTGAATTGAGGCTTGGGTATGAAATTTGATGCTCAGACAAGGAACCCACCCAGTTGCCAAACCTGACCACTATGGGCTTGGAGGGTTAATGATGTCGATTAGTGATCGCATATTCACATGCCAACTTATGTGATAACAAACTTATTTATCTCAAGTTAATACATTTTATATTGCAAAAGTTTTATCTAGGGACTAGGCTCACATAACATATTAACATCTAACATTCACCTTTAAGCGGGTGCATACTAGTCATATGCACCTAGGGCATAGATTATATTGAGAATTTGAAATGATATTTGTAAAACAAATTTTCAACTGATGTTATAGATTTTGTATAGCATATTACGATCTAACATCAACCTTTAGCTATGTTGTACGAAGCGGAGTGCTGGGTGGTTAAGAAAACCTACATTTACCTTTAGCTTGCTCTGTTCTTCGTTTTTTGTGTTACTCGAGCTAGGGGTCTCTTAAAAATAACCTCTCTACTTTTGAGTAGGGGTAAGGTTTGCGTACACACACCCTCTCCAGACCCTACTCCCGTGGGATTCTACTGGGTTGTTGTATGTAAAACACTATAGAGGTGCCCTATGTTTATATGTTTCGTACATATTGGGCTGAAGCCCACTACAACTAAGCATCCGTGTAGGGCTACATAACCTTCAACATTTCCTTTTAAGCAAGAGCATAGAAGTCATCTGCATCAAGCTTGTTAGCTGTCTCAAACAGGTCTTTCTAGAACCTCTAAGAGACTTACCTAGATGACAGAACTTGTGTTGATACATTTGAACAAGAGTCCTTTCCTGAAAAACTGCATTTAACATCTAAATGGTTGGTCCTCTCATGATACATTGGATTCAAAACAATGTGTAATGATGCTTGATTATCACACGGAGTTATAAGGGAAACAATTCGGGGGCATGAAATAAGACAGTGTAAGGAACACCTTTGTTAAGGGTGGATGAAGGCATTCCATTAATGAGATGATATGCGATTATGATATCATGGGTTCAATAGTGATGTGGTGTATGGGAATGAAACAAAAGAGTGAAATCAATGTCGACAAGAGGACAGTTCTTACAGTTTGCAACCCCATTTTGTTAAGGTGCCTAAACACAAAATGAATGGTAGAGACTAGAGAGTACTATGGGTAGCCATGAATTGATTAATTGATTATATGGTTCTATGAAAAATCCTTTGTCACATTCACTTTGCAGAGTTTAGGCAGAGTGTCCAAATTGTGCTTTGGCACAAAATATTTTAAAGATATGAAACTATTCAATTCGATCTTTCATAAAAAGAACCATGCATGCCCAGAAAGATCATCCACGAAATGACAACATACTGAAACCTAATGTAGATTTGACTTGATATGGATCCCAAACATGTGTAACCCAATTATTGACCCTTCTTGGAAAGGATTAATGGGATTTCATTCTATGGTCACATGGCTCAAAACCTAAGGATGAAATATTCAAGAAACCAGGGGCCATATGCTGAAGCTTGAAGAAACTAGAGTGGCCTAGATCAGAAGGGTTAAGATGATTGGGGCCCTGAGATTTATGTCTGAGGCCAATCCTCTTTCTTGAACAATATGCGGAGTAAAAGGTTATTAAACTGATAAGAAAGCGAGTAAGGATGACAGAGGAAGGAGTGAAGGACCTCTTCTATAGAATAGGGGTTTGAAAACTAATGGTAAAAGAACCTCTTTCAATGTTTTGGCTTGGAAGGATTACTGGGACCTGATCCGATGGACCAAAGTAAATGATCCATGTGCTGGAGATGCTTAAGATTCATGACATAGATATATGCGATGAGGTAGAGGCCTTAAATTCAAGGCATTCCTTTTATAATCTGATGATAAAATCACAACCGAAGATGGTGGTATCTGGGCGTCATTGGCTGAATGTGTAGGTCTCCTGTGCATCTTCTAGCACTTGTCCTTAGTATGATTGATTTTGTGACCAAAAACTTTCGTTGGATGCTTCCTTCTGCAAATCAGGTGATACAGGGGCGGCGCATAGTGTTAAGGCACCATTCATTGTTGGGATTGTTGAAGTGTTGAACTGGAAAAATTTGTTCATGAATCAATCGCAAATCAGGATGAAGACCAGCTAAATTTAGGAGTGACAAGTGAGCTATTTCCTTTACTCAGATTGCTCATTCCTTTTCTAGGTAATTGTCTGAATAGTGTTATATTCAAATAATAAGGCTTCAATTTGGCAAAGAAAGTCTGAATATCCAAGTCTCTTTGTTTGAGACTTGCTATCTTTGATCCACTAGAAAACAGACTTCGCTTGCCTAAGCATCTCCCAAATATTGCTTGAATATCTGCTACCATTGGTATTTAAGAAGTTTGGGATCCATGGATTCACATTTCTCACATTACTACGTTGCAAAGTAAGGAATCCACGGTTTACCCTTCAATTTTCTTATTTTCAATAGTAGTGGTATCTTTATTCATGCGATCGGATTGACCTTGATCTTTAAAATACATTTCCACAAAACAACCCATGTCTGAAGGTTAGAACTTAAGGCCGAGCATTCAGTAGTGATATCTGAAACTGTCACAAATGTAGAGACACTGGATACCATTAAAGTAATTGAGACAGAATGATCATTATGACCCAAAAAGGAAACTATCCAAAACAGTGTACGGAAGTGGAAGTGGCACGCTGCATGTGTCTGTGGCATATCACATTTTAATGATTCAAGCAAAGCCGGGGCAGTACAGTTAGGCTCGCCGGCAGGTTAGGATTCTCCTGGTAAAGGCATTGTCAAGATTCATCACTGGATGAGCAGAAATGAGTAGATGTTTCTTAGGTTGACCAGCACGTGGCAGTGAATGACTATGGCAGTGGGTTTCCCATCAAGTAATTAGGTTGTTAGGGTGATGATCAAGTTGGATGTCAGGTTAGGTTTTTGATGAATCTACCCCAAGTGCCTGAAAAGTGCATGTGACTACTACTCACCACCGAAACATTAATTCCAGCTACAAAATTTTGGAAAATAAATTTGATGACTCCCGTACCATGTGTAATACATTGAGGCTCTTTTTAAAAAATTATATATTTTTAATATTATAATTTTTATACAATGAGTAGTTTTCGTTCAAACAAATATATTGATATTTAAGTTTTATTTTTTGTAAAAATAGAAAAAATAAGTAAAATTATGGTGTTAAAATAAAAAATATATGTTTTTTAGATATTTCAATTATATATTTTAAAAGTATTTTAAATTGTACTCAATAAATATTTCCATAAATTTTTATAAAATAGTTTTTTGGCTAAATTTATTTTTGGTAAAAGAGTGTGTGTACACAGGCCTTACACCTACTTGAAAGTAAAGAGTGTTTCCAATAGATTCCCCAAACTCCCTAAGTATTATTCATCTCATGTACAGATTTGTAAAAGACCCTATTTATATCTAAATGTAATGATGACACAAGTGAGACTATCATGATGACTGAAGCAATGATCAAAACGACAAGCTAACTTTCAATTGCAGGAGTTTTCTTACTTTTGTTAAATCAAGTATTTTTTTCACTAAAAGAGTAATTTTTGACAATGTTTTGACTTCAGATAAATAATGGACTAGATCAAAAGTGCAAAATTGAACTTCTTTTGCAAATTTTTTACATGGAGATTTGGAAGTAAATGCATCAAAGGTTTCACAAAAACAACCTCTCTGTACGCAGGGGTAACTGGTAAGGTTGCATACATCTTGACCTTAGACCCCAATGAAGTTGGGATTATACTGGGGTTGTTGCTGTTCTGGTCTATTTTCCGCTTTGTGTAGTTATTTTTAATGCACAAGCCTAACTCTAAATTATATTTTTTTGGAGAAAAAAATTATATTTATTTATATTAAAAATTGTTCTCTTCCTAGTAGAGTGTTCCAAAAAGCCTGATATTAGTTATTCTTAAAAACGAGGCAAATTGCCTTTTATTTACTCCAAGAAGTACTTAGAACTATTTTTTTGCCTGACTTATGGCTTTTTGGAGGATTTGGAGCGGATTAGGGGCAAGTGGTATTTGGTAGTAAGACAAGCAAGCACTTTAAGCAAAGTATCTAATCTTTGACAGCGGAAAAAACATGTTTTCTTGATCCGCCATCTTTATTCTCTTTTCCTTGAATGGTTTTTCTATTTACCTTTTGTAGTTATTACACACATTTTTGAGGAAGAGGGCCTTGAAGTGCTTGGATGGAGGCCTGTTCCAGTGGAATCTTCTATAGTTGGATATTATGCAAGAGAAACCATGCCCAACATACAGCAAGTTTTTGTTAGAATTGTGAAAGAAGAAAATGCTGATGACATAGAAAGGGAACTGTATATATGTCGTAATTTAATTGAAAGAGCAGCAGCAAACTCAGAAACCTGGGGGAATGAACTATATTTCTGCTCATTGTCCAACCAAACTATTGTTTACAAAGGAATGCTTCGTTCGGAGGCTCTTGGTAAATTTTACTGTGACCTGGAAAGTGAGCTTTATAAATCTCCTTTTGCAATTTATCATAGGAGATACAGTACAAACACTAGCCCCAGGTGGCCACTTGCTCAACCGATGAGGTTTCTGGGTCATAATGGAGAGATCAACACAATACAGGTTACGTCGGATTCTTCATTTTTCTTTCTTTTCCTTCATCACTGCATTGCCAATGGCTTTTGAGGCTTTTGGTTGTCTTTTGTATAATTTCAAAGAAAAAACATAATAATATAACATAACATAAAAATGCAGGGGAATTTGAACTGGATGCGGTCTAGAGAGTCCTCTTTGATGTCCCCTGTTTGGCGTGGGCGCGAAAATGATCTTCGTCCTATTGGAAACTCAAAAGCCTCAGACTCTGCTAATCTTGACAGTGCAGCAGAAGTACAACCAACAATGTCTTGAAATGCAGTATTTAATTGCGTGTTGCTGGAATTTATCTTATCCTCACACAATCTTTATTAAACTGGAACATGACAAAAATCAAAGCTGATCCTTTCAACCAATCTGACTTGTTTATCCGACATCTATTTTATTAATTGCATACTCCGTATTTGTATGTATAAGCTTAGTTAGCTTACATAGTGAAGTACTCCCTCTGCCCCCCAAACATTTTCTCACGTTCCTTATTCATTCGTTCCAAAATAAAATTTACATTTTCTCTTTCCCTTTCCCTTTTTGAAAAAGGATATATGCTCCAAAATACTTTTTCATCTTCTAAACAAGATTCTAATCACTCACTTTTCACTTTTCATTTTCATCCTCACCAATGAAGCCAAAGATTTACTATTTTTAGCTTTGGGTTTTGATGGAATAAAACAAAATAGCTCTCCTTTCACTAGTGAAGTAGCAGTTACTCAATGCAACTTTCGAAAATGAGCCATTTGGAAACAGCCCCTCTATGTTTTAAACATAGGGGTTAGGCTGCATACATCCGACCCCCTACCCTGCAATGGGCGGGAGCCTTTAAAGCACTGGGGTAATGTTGTTGTTGTCACCTCACTTTTTAACACTTTTCTTAATCTTCGTGAAGTTAAACTTGGAAAACTAATTTGGGATAGTGGGAGTACTTCGTATATGAATGCAAGTATGCAACTGCTTTCATTTAACTAATGTTTTTTTCTGGTTGGGTCTGTTTCCAAATGTCTTTCTTATCATCCCATTCTGTAAAGTGTGAACTTCTGCTTATTTTAGCTTGTAAATACTTTCTAATATGTTGACAATTCCCCAAAATTTCTTAGCTTTTACCTCTCTAAATATGATAGCTTATTTTTCTTGGCTGACTACTTTTTGTTGTTTGCTTCTTCAGTTGCTAATTAGGAGTGGGCGCACTCCTGATGAAGCGTTGATGATTCTTGTTCCTGAGGCATACCAAAACCATCCGACTTTGACTATCAAATATCCTGAGGTAAATCTGCTTTGAGACAAGTTTAAATCTTTGGCAAAGGTATTTCATAATCATCCAGTTGTTTTCTGTGATCACATTTTTTTCATGTAGGTTGTTAGTTTTTATGATTACTATAAGGGCCAAATGGAAGCTTGGGATGGGCCTGCCTTACTCTTATTTAGGTAATATCTATGAATCCTACTCCCTTTGTCCTATATCTTTTTTTTGTTTTCCTTTTGTTTTCCTTACCCTTCTTCCTGTTCTCACTCCTCACTTGTCGCCGCCTATTGTCTTGATTCCCTTGTCGCCTATCTCGTTGCTTTTTCCAACCCTCAACCATTTTTGAAGTCCATTTCGTGGTCGATTTCTATTTCGCCAGTGCTGCTGTTGTCGGTCACCGCTGATTTCATTTTTGTTCCGGATCTTTGATTGCGCTCATGGAGTCTTCCTTCAGCGTATTTGTTTTCATTCATCTGGAATCGTAACTGGAGTCATCATTGCCGGAATCAGCACAATTCTACGCCATTGATTGGACCCAGGCTTCCGACACCACAATCATTGTCGACGCGATAAACCCCAGCCTTGTTCTATCCACGAGATTATGGAGGGAGCCCTCGGCTGTTCACATCCAAAAAATCAAGGCTGTCCAATGTAGATAGCCTGTCTCTGAAAGCCAGTCACATAGCCTTGGTTTAAAAAAGCGCGCCTCAGGCAATTAAAATCCCCCCCAGATGTCTGGACGCACCATTTTCATAAGGGGTAGGTTTCATTGCGCCTCTGTGCTCTTTTGATCAGTTGCGAGACCCTCGTGTTTCTCTAAATTGTCTATTTTTTTATAAAAAATTGCTTTTGGTTGTTACTTACACCCTTGAGCTGCTCTTAAAAAAACTCGTGTTTTTCTTCTTCATCGAGTCATCTCCTCTGTGCGCCTCCTCCCAGGTATTCTCTTCTAATCTTTACTTCTTCTCCAACATCCTCCTCCTCTCTGTTCTCTTCTTGTACATCCTCCCAGGTTTTTTGTTCTGTTGTGAAGTAATTACAGAGTACTAATTTTGCAGAAATATTTTGATAAGAATTTGGAGCAAAACGGAGTCTAACTCTAGAGTCAGAATTTTGTAGTCTTTTTTATATAAAGAATTTAAGCTTGAGTTTTGGACCTTTAGTTTATTATGTATGAATTATGAAAATTTGGTGGTTTATTGAACTCTGAAGTTTTTGTTTCCTTTAATATTATTGTGTTTAAGTTATTGCACGATATGTTGTAGAAGGCAATCAAGTCATGTAATACTCCAGGAGTCCACGTATGAATGAGTTTTATTGTCTACATGTGCTTCACATGTGTGAGGCGCGCGACTCTGCCGTGTGCCTCCAATATTTTTAGGAAATGTGCCTCGTGAGCCTCTTTCCTTTTAAAACCAAGCACAGAGTAAATGAAAACTTAGGTGCAATGTAGTTTTTCCTAATGAGCCCCATCCAAGGGAGAATAGGATGCTTGTAAAATGTAATTCTGAATACACATTTAAGCACACAACACCCACCCACCCACCCGCCCTTATAACTTACCCACCTCTACCACCATCATCTGTACCTTCATCCTCTCAGCCTCCTCCTACCATCACCACCATCACAAATAATATTATCACTTTGATTACAATCATCTTTCCTCGCATGTGTCTGACTGTCTGTACATATGTGTGGATTCAGTGGGTACTACAAAAATATATAAATACATGAAAATTGGTCTCCACTGCTAGATTCATGATCATATTGGTATGATCATTTTAGATTTTATTTAATGCATGCACTGAAATCTATGCACATTGGATTTTTAGTCTTTAAAGATTGCCAATTCATTGAGTTTTACACATTGAAACCTTTTCTATATGTTAGCGAGTGAGTGTATGTGTGTGTAAATGCTATGTAATGATAAAAATGTTCAAAAACAGAAGAAGATGATTTCCAGTTTGTTTTCTGTTTGAAAAAATCTGGAAAACAGTAACTCTAAATATGGTCCCGGTTTGAATAATTTTTCCACAAAATAGATAAATTTTGAATTACTAAAGTTGACCTAAGTTTGCTTGCTTATGTAATACTCCGTACCTTTCTGTCTACAAGACTCATAAACCCGCTTGAACTTCTACTTCCTTTTTCTCCTTCGTTCCCTACCCTCCAGTGATGGAAAAACAGTTGGAGCTTGTCTTGATCGTAATGGACTTCGCCCTGCTAGATATTGGAGGACAATCGACAATGTTGTCTATGTTGCATCTGAGGTAGGCTCATTTTCTTCTTTAAACACATCTCTTTCAATGTTTGAGCCATCACTGGAACTGGAAGGTAGTTTAATAAAAAAATGTACAGGCACTAAATATGGTTTATTGGTTTAAATTTAATTAGGTTGGTGTTTTGCCAATGGATGAATCAAAGATAACAATGAAAGGGCGTCTAGGTCCTGGAATGATGATAACTGTTGATCTTCGAAGTGGTCAGGTTTGTTTAGTATCCATTCTTGAGAATAATACACTAATTTTGCTACATTTGTATATTTATAAGGTTTTTTTTGGAAAAAAATGAATTAATGACCACTATTACTCCCACAATTGCTCTCTTTTTTACAAAAATACTCCACCTGCCACCTCACTTGCACAATCATATTGTGTAATATGACCTAATATCTACATGGACTTTAGAAGTGATGACTTGGAAAATAAATCATTTTTTAGTTTTCAGTAAAAAAATTAATTACATATTCCTCCAACTCGAATATCGATCTCCCACTGTGAGAGACGATTGCTATTTGAGTTGGAGGAGGAATAAGTAATTTAGTTTATTTGTATAAAAAATGATTTATTTTTCAAGTCATCACTTTAAAAGTCCATGTAGATATTACACAATATGATTGTGCAAGTGAGGTGGCAGGTGGAGTATTTTTGTAAAAAGAGAGCAATTATGGGAGTAATAGTGTCATTAGTTGATTTTCGGAGTGTTCTGGTAAATTTGGAGATTTGTCGGAGTATTGCTATAGAATTTTCCTTTTTTGGGTTCATACATGAGAAAAATACTAATTAATATTGCTGTTTGTTGCATCACTATGCTGAGGTTTCTGTCAATTGCTCCAAATGTTGTTGGTTTGGGTGTTTGCAGATAGGTGTTTGGGTGCAAGAGTGGATCTAGAAAACTCTACCGTCATACTGGGGGGAACTTAAGAATAAAATGAGGGGTTGGGGAGGGGGGATTTAGGATTTCCATCTCAGTTACTAAGTTATGTGTTTATCATGAAATAATTATCTTGACCTATGTACTGTATGAGAAAGTTCTCATACAAATGCATCACAAACTCAGACTAATGCACACATGTTTTCAGACAAAGTTGCTTTCCATGACTCAGATTTTGTGGAAAAAAGTAGTAATCCTATAATCTGGGATTGAAATAGACAAACTAGTTGGCTCTACCTTGAGAAAATGTTTTTTTAAGTCTCTACCTTTAATGACCTCAAATTACTTGTTTCTTTCATGACACATTGAGTTGCTGATTCAAACAGGTATTTGAAAACACAGAGGTAAAAAAGCGAGTTGCACTATCAAATCCTTATGGAAAGTGGGTGAAAGAAAACTTGCGATCTTTGAAGCCAGCTAACTTCCTCCAAACTGTGGTTATGGACACTGAATCAGTTCTAAGGAGCCAGCAGTGAGTATCTTCATTTTAATATATTTTTCTAATATTAAATTCGGTTATTGTTGTTATGACCACAAATTTCTATTATCATGGCGTCAGCAATTAATTGTCTGGTCAAATAATCAAGTTGGGGGTCTTGCCATATCCATTTGCCTTGCCATATTTGGTCTTAGCTTTGTCCAGCGCCGCGTTGTCGTTGTCGTGGCGTCCAAGCGGCAAACTTCATGCCTTAGGCGTGGTTCACAGAAGTCATTTTTTATTCGTTGGTCAACTCAGTCAATTTTAATTCATATAAAAGAGGCCAACAACAAAATAATAAAAACTAAAAGCCCTAGCTTTAGCTTCCGTCCAAGAGAAGAGTCCATAGGCCATAGCTTCACTTCGACTCTTCCTATCGTTCACCAGAGACTGGCGAGATGGAAACCAAGGGCAAGCTGACTTGTTAGTGAGTGGTAACTTTTTCTCTCATTTGTTTTCCATCTCTGCTATCTATTTTTTCTGACCTTTTTTTCTACTTTTTTTAAAAAAAATATATATGAAATTCAGAAATTGTTTTTGCAGCATTCTTCCAATGAAATAATGTATTTGTACTTCAATTTTTCTTTTTTCATAGTATAAAGTTCTATTTTTTCGTTATAATGTTAATTCCAAGATTTTATTTTGTTTTAAACCAATACGAAGTATTAAATTATGATGACTGACCTTTATAATTAATGAATTATAATACGCAGTATGTCTTATAGTGCTTTAATTCTAGTGGGTTGCCAAATTCTCACCTAGACGGACACCTAGGCGTCATGGTTGTCCACTAACTTCGTGCCTTGCCTTGGCGCCGTGATAACTACCACAAATGTCAGTATGTCACACTCTTTTAAGCAAAGAGGATAAACTGTGTATATGAAATTTGTTGAGACTGAACTCCATACTTTTATTTGGATTTTTTGCTTGTATTAAGTTGTAGCTAAGGTCATAGCCCATTATGCAATGAGAGTTTCAGCCATTGCGCCACTCAAATCAAATACAACAACCAAGTATTAATGAAAACATGAAATACAATAATATAGTCCCTTCGCTCCGAATTAATGGTTTCACTTTCCTTTTCAGTCTGGCCCACAAAAGTTGTGACACTTTCTTACTTTTCTAATAAAGTAAAGAATGTGTTCCACGATTTTTCTCTTTCTTCTATAACAAATTCAACTACTCACACTTTACTTTTAAACACTTTTTTTAAGAAGCCAAACTGTGTGAGTTAATTCGGAACAGATCAACAGAGTGAGTATTATATTTATTGAATTCCCTCTAGCCTCTTTGGTTCTTCCCAGTCCCCACTCTGACTTGGTACGGTTTTTAATGTAAAATGATAAGTTGTTGACTTTTCAACTTTGTCCTTTTCACTTAAAAGAACTCAAAAAAAAACCAGCAAAAGGTCAGTACCACCGTCTCCATCTCCGGCCAACTCCCACCCTCGTCAGTAGCAGCGGCTTCCCAACTAGCCCCCCTCATCCATCGCAGCCGCCGCCCAACTTGCCACCCTCCTCAATCGCCACCGCTGCCCAACCCGCACCCTCTCTGTCGCAGCATCCACTTAAGTCTCTGCCGAAAAACAAATCTGAAGACGTCCCTTGCCTAGATCTGCAAAACCAATGCTTCATCATTGGAGTAGAAGAACAAAGAAATTGGGCGGGGNGGATCGACGAAGAAGAAAGAAGGGGGATTGACAAAGAAGACTAAGCAATTGGGAAGGGAAAAGTAGACATTTACTTCTCATTTAGTTGCCATATTAGGAAAGTGGCGAGAAACAAAAGGGACAACCCAAAAGGAAAGTGGGAAAGATCAAAGAGGACAGAGGGAGTACTAAATAACTATTAAATAAGCTTCATCTAATTAAAATATCCGAACTAACAAAAATATCAATCCAAATTATTTTCCAACTATCAGTAATAAGGATTCCTAATTAAATCCAAATTATCCTGGGTAGGATTTTTGAGTCATCAATCATTTCCAACTAACTGATTCTTGTTCTTTTGAGAAAACAGGGCACATGGGTATTCTAGTGAGGATGTTCAAATAGTTATTGAGAGTATGGCTTCACAAGGGAAGGAGTCTACATTTTGCATGGGAGATGATATACCTTTGGCTGTGTTATCTTCAAAGCCTCATATGCTATTTGATTATTTCAAGCAGAGGTTTGCTCAGGTGTGCATAGTTTTTATGGATAATCAGGAAAAGCGTCATGATATATAAAAGACACAACAAAAGATAGCTAATTGGTAACCTCACTTGTCAAAAATGCATCTTGTGAAATCTATGGTTTACTGTTCTTTTTGCTCCCCTTTATTTTGAAGTTACTTGGTAGATTGCTATACGAATGGTGTCTTTTAGCTACTTCATTAAACTTTAAACTTTATGCATATAATCTATTAGATCTGGCCAAATTTTTTGTACGGTTATTTTTTGTTTGTATATTTTAGGTAACAAATCCTGCTATTGATCCCCTAAGAGAGGGACTAGTTATGTCTCTTGAAGTTCATCTTGGGATGCGAGGGAACATACTAGAGGTTGGACCTGAAAATGCCTCCCAGGTAGATTAAAATTTTTCTCTTCTTTGGGACTAGTTACATACTTACATCCTTGCTTCTCTTCGATCTCTTATATAGTAACTGTTGGTTTCACATTCAGGTTAATTTGTCAAGTCCTGTTCTTAATGAAGGAGATTTAGAATCTCTTTTGAAAGATCCACTCTTGAAGCCTCAAGTATTACCCACATTTTTCAATGTTGGAAAAGGAGTATATGGTTCCTTGGAAAAAACACTGTCCAAACTTTGTGAAGCAGCAGATGAAGCTGTTAGAAATGGTTCTCAATTGCTTGTTCTCTCTGACAGAGCTGATGACCTGGTAAGCTTCATTTCTGGTCTGTCATGTGCCATGCTGTGCTCTTTTTGTCTTTGGCTGTATCATAAAGTTAGGGAGCCTATGTGTTGGGTAAAGTTCTAGAGCTTGACATATGCATTACCAGAATCTCAACCTTCTTTGGATGATATTTTGATATCTCCTGCATTTCATATGTATAACTAACTTTCCTCTATGCTGCCAGGAAGCTACACGGCCTGCTATTCCCATGCTTCTTGCTGTAGGTGCAGTTCACCAGCACCTTATTCAGAATGGCCTGCGTATGGCTGCTTCAATTGTTGTTGATACTGCTCAGTGCTTCAGCACTCATCAGTTTGCTTGTTTGATCGGATATGGTGCAAGGTTATGCTCATTTATCTGGCATTTTCATCCCTCACCCGTGTGAAATATCCAGTCCTTAAGCTTAATGTGTGGTTTGTTGATATTCCTATGTGGTCTCATTCATTCCCTTTGTCCCATTTATGTTTGGAGGCTGTGGAAAATATGGACTTTGTATCGGGGAAATTATCAATGAGGATATAGTTTTTGTTTTGTTTTGTTTTGTTTTCTAGTATAAACATCATTATTATTCTATATATTCAAACATCAGAGTGAGTTGTGGTATGTCACTTATTCTGGGAAGCCAAGAAAGATGTAACATTGGGAGAGGGACTGTATTACTATATGTATGCATCTATGTTCTTTATGTACATTTTTCTTTTTCTTTTTTCCCTAAAGATTACATTTACTATACGTCTCTACTTTGATTCATAATATGTGGGGTTGGGGCAGGGGTTTCTTTTTAATTTTTAACACTGAGATTCTTATTTGACACATTTTGTTTGATTGCTCCAGTGCTATATGCCCATACTTGGCATTGGAGACATGTCGACAATGGCGCTTGAGCAATAAAACAGTAAATCTGATGCGTAATGGGAAGATGCCCACTGTTACCATTGAACAAGCTCAAAAAAACTTCTGTAAGGTCTGTATCTGGACGAGGAAGGAATCTGCCTAGGATGTTGTCGCAGTTTACATTTTTGTTGGATTTCTATCATTTTCTAGAGTTGCATGCATGCACTAATCCATTTCTTTTGCTTAAGTAGTGTTGATTCAATGATGTTATGTGGCGAAAGAAAAGGATTTTGTTATTCCGATGCACACCATACAACTAACAGCACAAATTTATGTAGAAATATATGCAGTTATAGTCGTATAGTCTACCTGTCACGGTAATTCCAAAGGACAGTTGGGACGGCTCACCAAAAATACTTGATTTGCTAGAAATTAAATCAAAGTGAACAAGGGCAGTTTATAAAGAGGGAGGGTTTTGACACCACATGAAAATCCTATATTTGAACCCCATTTTTTTTTCAAATCTACACTAAGTCTTAATTCCTCAACTCGTAATGAACCCCTAAATGTAACCATAAATCTTATATCATTCCTTATATAAGGAGGGATCTGTTTACACCATAGTTATCAAGGCGTCGCCTAGGCGACGCTTAGGCATCTGGGCGAGTGGACGCCTAGTTGGTCGCCTAGCTTTTTTTTCCCTGGGCGACTCAGTGACCATCTCGGGAGACGCATCTACGTTTTAGAAGAGCAAGGGAACGCGCGGGATAGAGAGAAAAGACGGAGGAAGAGATAGAATGAAGACTTATCTTTCTAGCAAATCTTCCAGCGGCTCCCGTCTCTGCAGCGGCTCCAGTCTCTGTGTCTTTTTATCTCTCTATATCATTTAGACTAGTGGACTAGGTCAGATAACTGGGCTAGGTTCATTAAAAGACTATTGCACCTTTACACAAGAGTACAAGGCCCAAAATTTAATATGCCTTTTAAAAGCTCCCTTTATTTGAGCAGTCTTATATATATATATTCATTTTAATTAATTATTTCATATTATATGCTTTAACATTAGTACCTATAAAATTTTGTTGCCATAACCCACTCACCCAGCGGACGCCTAGGCGATTGGAAGGTGCTCTAGCGCCTAGCCTCGCCTAGCCGCCGTAACAACTATGGTTTATACCACTATGACTTGCATCAGCTCTTACACTGCTTATAACTTTCACTTGAATTGTTTTTATGCAAAACCCATCGTGAGGTCATCTTCGTAAATTTCATTCGCCGCTTAAAGTTTTTCACTTTCCGAATGTTGTATAATGTATTTTAGTGAGAACGTTTCTATTCAACGCTATTGCAGGCTATAAAATCTGGGCTTCTCAAGATTCTTTCCAAAATGGGAATTTCACTGCTTTCAAGGTAAGTGAGTCTACCATCACTGTTTTTTACCCTCTTTGTTTCCCCTGATTACCATGCTGTTATTGTTGTTATGATCATCTTTCAGCTTGCTATTTTATTTCTTCATTATTTTCAGTTTCTCACTTAAGATTTTGGTTTTTAGTTATTGCGGAGCACAAATATTTGAAATATATGGACTGGGAAAGGATGTCGTTGATATTGCATTTTGTGGGAGTAAATCAAGTATTGGTGGCTTGACTTTGGATGAGGTAAAAACCAATTGATAGATATCCGAATCTTGTTGGGTAAATTGTTATTCTCGGTTCTACTATTCTTGGTAAAATGATGCCTGACAAGTGAAATGTTTCCACTAGAAATCTACACTTATGGGGTGTTATGCATCTTGCAAAATGTCTGTGTGATCAAATGATGAGGCTATTGCAGTTTGATCTTTGTATCTATATTGTTGAATTTTGGAGAATGAAAGCATGATAATTTTTAATTTTTTTGAGGAAAGAAAGCATGATTAGATAACTCTACTGTACCATTGCAATTTGCTCTGTTCTTCCTCGCTTATGGCATGAAAAAATTTTGCCCTGTCTGCAGCTTCTGTTTTCTCAAACTACAATGGGAGTGTTTTAGAGAACGTACATTTCTGTTTATTGCTTATTTTAAGTCTCTTTTAAAATTTTGGTGACTGATAAGCCAACTTGAAGTTTGGCTTGTTGCTTTTTTGAGTAGTTTAAACTCCATAAGCCAAAAGCAAGTATCTACTTGCTTATTGCTTATTTTAAGCATTATTCCATAAGCCAAAAGCAAGTACCTACCTGCTTATCGCTTTTGCTTACTACTTTTGCAAAAGCAGTTGAAAATACTCCTTCCGTATGTTGAAACTATTGGTGTCTCTGCTGCTTTTGTTTTCTGATAAACTATTATGAAACTGAGTCTAAACACCTTTATTTCTTTCAGTTGGCAAGAGAGACCTTGTCGTTTTGGATTAAGGCTTTCTCTGAAGATACTGCAAAAAGACTTGAAAATTATGGGTTCATACAGTTCCGACCAGGAGGTATAATAATTTCTTTTTGTTTTTTTAAAAACATAAGCTGTAAAGTTTCTAGGCTCATACATGGTTTAAGTATAAGTTTTCTGTGAATATAATACTTCTGTGTCCATTGCTCTAAAGGAAGAGTGAACTACACAATCATAGGAAATCAGTTGACAAGTCACAGGACTTTTATATAGATGTTGGCAAAATGAATCCCTAAAGTCTGACTTTTGGCTAACAAAATCCTTAACAAACGGAGATTTTTTCTTGACTTTAAAATGCATACTAGAAGCATCTATTATGAACTGTATATTGCTTCGTAAATATACCCTTTCCTTATATCTGTCAATAGAAGCCAACATCATAGGGGAAAAGTTAGCATTTTGATTTATTACATCCTTCTTCAGACAAGCTGGAGATTTGCATTTTAATTTATTTATTCTCGTTCATCTGTAAGGGGAATATCATGGAAATAATCCAGAGATGTCAAAACTGCTCCATAAAGCTGTCCGTCAAAAAAGTGAAAGTGCCTATTCAATTTATCAGCAGTATTTGGCAAATCGACCTGTAAATGTGAGTTGCTATTATATGTTTATCTTAGAATAACATTCTGATGTACAAATTCTGGGTCCAACAACAACAACATTACCCCAGTGCTTCAAAGGCTCCCACCCATTGCGGGGTAAGTTCACTAAGTTGGGGTTGGATGTACGTAGTCTGGCCCATATGTTTAAACCATGGAGCGGCTGTTTCGAGATAGGAATTCTGATTATGGAGTTAAGTTTGCTGAATATGCCCTGCGCATATTATTCTCTTGGCTTAAGATTTTTTTAAATAAGATACCGAGTAACCAACCTGAACCTCCCATATTATGAATGTTAGTGTGCTCTGTTGAGAACTGATTTAGCTTTATGTCACACCCCATGCTATACTTATTTGATTATTTATTAAAACTCTTAGGTATTCAATTCATTTTAAATTGTATAGGAACATTGATTATTATTTCTCTTGAAATTCGATTGTCTTTTGAATTTTTCTGAACATTTATTGCAATAATAGGTTATTCGGGACCTTCTGGAACTGAAAAGCAATCGTTCCCCTATTCCGGTTGGGAGGGTTGAACCTGCTTCATCAATTGTGAAGCGATTTTGCACAGGTGGTATGTCGCTTGGAGCTATATCTAGGGAAACCCATGAAGCAATTGCGATTGCAATGAATAGGATAGGTGGGAAATCAAATTCGGGAGAGGGTGGAGAGGTAACTTATGTAATGATTTGTAGAGCAAAAAAAGTAAACTCTATCAGGAAAACATCTTTTTAATTGCATTCCTGAATTATGATGCCAGTTACCAACTTCGTACAGGATCCAATCCGCTGGAAGCCGCTCACTGATGTTGTTGATGGGTACTCTTCGACACTTCCACACCTCAGAGGCCTTCAAAATGGAGATACTGCAACTAGTGCTATAAAACAGGTCTCAAGTGATACAGTTTTCCTTCTTTAGGCTTGGATGATACTGTTGCCCAATCTAACAAAGATGTTGATAATTATTAGTGTCTAATGGCGAAACCTTACTAATGCCTTAATGGACTCAGGTTGCTTCTGGCCGCTTTGGTGTCACCCCAACATTTTTAGCAAATGCTGATCAATTAGAAATCAAAATTGCACAAGGAGCGAAACCCGGTGAAGGTGGTCAATTGCCTGGGAAAAAAGTCAGTGCCTACATTGCAGGACTAAGAAAGTCAAAACCTGGTGTCCCTCTGATATCTCCACCACCACACCATGACATTTATTCTATTGAGGATCTAGCGCAGTTGATTTATGACCTTCATCAGGTGATGTGATGTACCTATTCATATATTAGATCTTAATATATTTTTGAGCGATGTTCCTGATTCTTCGTTACTGGACAATCAGGTTAACCCTAAAGCCAAAGTTTCAGTTAAACTTGTGGCAGAAGCTGGTATTGGCACAGTGGCTTCTGGGGTTGCAAAGGGTAACGCTGACATCATCCAGGTATCAAGCAAAACTTCTGACATACTCATTGTTATTGATTGTTTTTTCTTCAAAAGAATCCATTCAAATCCTATTCAAATTTAAGACTTGTGGAGTCTATTTCTGGAAATGGATGCATGCTTTACCCCCAGCAAATAAAATAGCTCAAATTACTGGATATAAATTTTGAAGTAGAAATAAAAGCTTTTGTCCTACGAAGCACGGTTGCTTCAAAAAACAGCCGCACGAAACACGGTGCAGGTGCGGCGGTGTGCGTGGGTGCGGCTGGGTAATTTTGTATTCTATTATTTTAAAACTTGGGTGCGGCTGGGTAGTTTTGAGACAGTTTATGTGGTTGATGTTAACTTTAATGGTAATTTGAGACTTGTATTATGTTTCCTATCTATTTTGTGGGATGTTATGTGGTTGATTTATTTAAAATTAGGACTATTGTTATATTTTGTGGATATTTTGAACATAAATACATGTATCTTACAAAGAAATGAATAATACAAATAAAGATATATAAATAAATTTGCTGCACCCTCACCCTGTTTATTTGAAAATTTTTGCTCCCGCGCACCAGTCATGCACCCGCACCGGCCGACACACCCACCCGTGCTTCATAGCTTTTGTCAAATTTTTTCCTCTATTCATTTTATTTTTGTAAAGTACATTCAAATTTTGTTTAACTCAAACCATGGGTTGAAATTGTTTTTCCTTCCCATACAGTGTATAGCACACCAACACACAACACCACACTCTTACCATAATTTGCTTATATGCTTATGATTAATCTAACATTTTTTTTGGAGGGGGGGGGGCGTATTTAAAAACATAGGTGACAATATTCAACAATTTTCACCTGATCATTAGAATACAATTCTTTCTTACCCAGAATTGTGTCCAAATTCGGTTTGCAGATATCAGGACATGATGGAGGGACTGGAGCAAGCCCAGTTAGTTCAATAAAACATGCTGGTGGTCCCTGGGAGCTTGGACTCACAGAAACACACCAGGTTGACTTGTTGCACTAGAAGTCTGGAATTAACCATATTTGATGTCACATCCATCATCATTTCAAATAATCTAAATCGATTGCATGTCCAGACGCTCATTGAAAATGGTCTGAGAGAGAGAGTTGTTCTTAGAGTTGATGGTGGCTTTAAAAGTGGATTTGATGTTGCGATGGCTGCAGCAATGGGAGCTGATGAGTATGGATTTGGTTCTGTAGCAATGATTGCCACTGGTTGTGTAATGGCCCGCATTTGTCACACAAACAATTGTCCAGTGGGTGTTGCAAGCCAGGTCTCAAAGACTTTTTTTACTTTTCCTTTTGAAATTTTATTTTATTGTCGTTGTAACAAGTGTTCACTTTGTTTTTTATTTTTTTTAAACACTTCACATTTCTCCAGAGAGAAGAATTGCGAGCTCGATTTCCGGGTGTACCCGGTGACCTTGTGAATTTCTTCCTATATGTTGCTGAGGAGGTAATTCATATGGATGCATGTTTGTGTTTTGTTAATGTGTTCTTGCGTCCTTGGTGTTTGTCATGTTTGTTGGTCAACAAGTTCAGGTTTTATAAAATAGATGCCATGTAGGTATGGAGTAAAGCACAATATTTGTAGTCTCTTGTATTTGTCATCTATCAAATGTTGCGAATTTTACCTTTTCTTATTCGTTTCCCTTCATATAAGGCAACGACAATGTTTCATTTTCTGTCACATTTGTTTCCACATTGCCTTCTCCACTAACACCCTTACTCTTTATTGGCGATTTTAATGTCATCGTCTATTTTATGCAATTGGATTTATTGGGCGGGGATTTTAATAGGCGTTTCTAACGAATTGGGTGGCGTGGAGTGCACGCTCGTTCAACGATATTACAAATTCTGTAGCGGGGTCCATGGGGAGAGGCCCTGGCTGGGGTTTAGCTGCAACTTGGGAAAATTTAATGTTGGACATAGTTGCTTTATGAAAATCCAAAGGATACATTCGAGTGTATTGTTTATCTATAGCATTCCTTACTAAACGACCCGATACATTTGAATGTTTACTCTAAAACATTTGAATGTTTTGCGATAAGACGCGATAGCTAGCGCAGAAAACCGCATAAACGCAATGCTTATTCATAACTGCTGCATACATTCAAATATTTTGGCCAAACATTTGAATGTTCTGCGTAAAGTTATGATGTTTCGTCAATAGATGTGTTCGATCAGTTTGTGCCCTATATATAATTATGTATGGAGTCCCAAGGTGTGTTTAAGACATAGTCACATAAATCGCGGTACGTTTCGGTACGGGTACGAAATTCGCTAGAGGTAACGAATTCGGTACGAAAGGGGGTAGGTTCATTTCGGTACGAAGCGGTACGAAGTGGTACGGTGTACCATGTATTTGGTTCGGCATACCAAAAGTCAAAACATAAGTAAACAAAAATAGATAAAAATAAGTATAATACTTAATTGTGAATTGAATTTTAAATTAAATATTAAATGATGAGAATGGGAGAGAAATATTTAATTGGGAAAGTGGAACGTGCCTGGGAAGTGGAACATACCAAGACTTGGGAAAGAGAAATCGTCGAAAAGGGAAAGAGGCAAATTGGGCAGAGGAAGTCGACGTTGCTTTGCTGGGAAGAGGAAATCGAGGAAGTCGCCATTGGTACGCTGTACCACCGGCGATGGGTGCGACGTACCTAGGTATTTGGATCGTCGTACCATCACAATTGGGATCGCCGTACCATCGCGATTGGGAGCGCCGTACCATCGCGATTTGGATTGCCGTACCGGTTGCGATAGGATCGCAAGCGACTTGCGATTGGGTACGAATCGTACCAATACGGAAGTCGCGGCTCTGGGAGCGAATTCTGTGACTGTGGTTTAAGATACAATAGAACTTCCATACTCATTCTAGATACTAATGTCTTATACGATTGAAGTTTTTTGGTATACTCCGAAATAACTTTATTCTGAAAGCGATCAAGCGATTCATTTAGTGTATCAAGCTTCTTCGCTTTTGTTCGTATACCAGTTCTTCTAACCGTTACTACCCCTCCCATGTTTCCAACACACTTTCCGTTCTTTTTAACAAGAGTAGTCTTGTACAACTAGTACATATCTGCTCTCAGCTCCATTGAGACCTAACAAGGGTATCCAATAGAGAAACAGGCGAACAGCTTGTCCCAGGAGGGAAAATGATTTTATAGTACCCGGTAAACATAATCTTTTTTAACTGCATGACATGCTTTGATGTCACTATTCAATCACACTTATTATAATTATAATTATTTTTACTATTTGACAATGTCTGGCTAGGTAAGAGGGATGCTAGCACAATTGGGCTATGAAAAGCTAGATGACATAGTAGGACGGAGAGAACTATTAAGACCCCGAGGCATCTCTGTAATGAAGACTCAACATATCGACCTCAGCTACATACTTTCTGTAGGTTTATAGAAGACTCTTTTCATCATCTCATACTTTACGTACAGTTGCATTTACCTCAGATTTCTGATATTATGTTTAAGGATGTTGATATACCCAAATGGAGCAGTACCATGATACGGAACCAGGAGGTTCATGGTAATGGTCCTGTTTTGGATGAAGTTTTACTCTCAGACCCACAGGTAAAAATTATGGGTGTAGTGTGTGTTTCAATTTTCTTCACATTAATATACAAAAGCCTTCCTTATCATCGTTTATACCATTTATGGAAAAGAAAAACAAAGGAATCTGTCTTGAATAAAATGAAGTTTCTTCTGAATAACAAAACCAACCCACCCACTAATCTCACACTCAACGACAATGACAACCCAATATAATCCCAACTCCATTGGCGTGTGGTAGGTCAAGACGTACACAACCATACCCCTGTAAAAAAGGCTTTTTCAGTTAGACCCTTGATGCATTGCTGCATTTAGTGCCCAAAATATCAAAGAAAGTAATAAGCAAAGGAAGTTTAATGGTCCACTCTGATTTATCCCATTATCTACCCAAATCCAAACCATTGTCATTGATGACTCTTTTAGCTCCATTGACAATGAGCACATGATCTGTCACTCAATCTGAAAATAAAAAATTTCAAAACCTTACATATCTATTCTTACATGACACTTGTGTAAATAGTGATTTTGATTTGTCAATATCCTGTTAATGAAGACTTAAAGAAAATTTTGATGCATAAATACCTTGTAATTACTGCATTACGAAATAATAAGAAATTCTCTCCTTGCTTCATACTTGCCAATCATATATTTTCAATTACCAAAACAACACAGAACATTGGGATCCCATTTAATAGAGTATTTTGTATCCAATTACCATAATATACTTTTTTATGATTCCTCTACAGTTATCTGATGCAATTGAGAATGAGAAGGTGGTCAACAAAACAATACAAATTTATAACACAGACCGTGCTGTTTGTGGCCGTTTAGCTGGTGTTATTGCAAAGAAGTATGGTGACGCTGGTTTTGCTGGGCAGCTTAATCTAACGTAATCCTAATCTCTTGATACAGTTGCTGTGATTTTGATATATTGTGTTTTTCGTCCTTGTAAAACATATAGACTTCTTGCTTCCAATGCAGATTCACAGGGAGTGCTGGGCAGTCGTTTGGTTGTTTTTTGACACCTGGAATGAAAATCCGTCTTGTAGGAGAAGCAAATGACTACGTGGGGAAGGTTGGTTTGTTAGTGTATTAATACTGCATGTGGAACCCATTTATGCCTCAAATTTGAAGCTTGTAAAATGACCCAGTATAATCTCAACTGTTTGGGGGGGGGTCAAGATGTATGCAGTCTCACCCCTGCGAAAATTAGAGAGGCTGTTTCCGTTAGACCCTAGAGGCATTGCTGCATTTACTGCCCAAAACTTCACAGAAAATAAGAAGCAAGAGAATTTTAATGTTCCCTTTTGATTTAGTTCATTATGTGTCCAAAACTAAAACATTGTCAATAATGACTCTTTTAGCTCTATTAGCAATGGACGGGAAACTTGAAGCTTACAATGGATATTTTTGAAACCACCGAGGTCTGATAATACCATTGTCATTAATTGTTATCATAATGAACTATTGTTTTTGCATGCAAGTTCAAACGAACAATGCTGTAAAGTTTTTCTGAAGCAATCCAACAGTCATTATAAACTTTCTAAAGCTTATCATGTGTTTATTCTCTGATGTCCTTCCATTGATCAAAGGGTATGGCTGGGGGAGAACTAGTTGTCACCCCTGTTGAGAATACTGGGTTTTGTCCAGAGGAGGCTACTATAGTAGGTAATACATGTTTGTATGGAGCGACCGGCGGACAGATGTTTGTACGGGGGAAAGCAGGGGAGCGTTTTGCAGTAAGAAACTCTCTTGCTCAAGCAGTTGTGGAAGGCACTGGAGACCATTGCTGTGAGTACATGACAGGGGGGTGTGTTGTCGTGCTTGGAAAGTAAGTGTTCTTTTAATTGTCAATGAAACGTTTCACTTAGGTATTGAACAAAGTCTGGTGTTAGCATTGTCATGTTTTATTATTGTGTCAGAGTGGGCAGAAATGTGGCGGCAGGTATGACCGGAGGTCTGGCATACATTCTCGATGAGGATGATACACTTATCCCCAAGGTTCGTAACCCTAATTCGCTCTGTGAGTTTCTGTGGGTAAGTACTTACATGAAGCTGATTTCTTTTCCTTATGGTAAACTGGCAAGTGTCCTTTTTAAAACCTGGAAAATACCTTGAAGGAAAAAGAAAGAAGGAAAACCGAGAAAAATTCGAAGGAAAGAATACGTGGGTGCAATAAAAGATAGGTTTAAAATTAATGAGTTTATTTATTTGTGTTCATATTCATTTTACTCATTTAGTTCTATTATCTAAAGACTAGCTAATCTAAGGGGCTGTTTGGAAACTTTTGAATCGGTAAGTGCTGAACCAGTAAGAGGTCTGAACCATTAAGTGCTGAACTAGTAAGAGGTCTGAACCATTAAGAGCTAGTATATTGCTTAACTATTCAGAGGCAAATGCCTGATCAACTCAGATAAGAGGTCTTAACCATTCAGACTCTGTATAATACTTAATCATTCAGAGGCAAATCTCTTAACCATTCAGACATCTGAACCATTAAGAGGCTGAAACAAACAGTCTGAACCATTAAGTGTTGAACCATTCAGACATCTGAACCATTAAGAGGCTGAAACAAACAGCCCCTAAGTTTATATAACATTTTCCTTTGCATTTGCTCGTGTAAACCCAAGCATAAGAGAATATTTTTTCTTAGCAACTTTCCTCTTTCCTAGCATTTTCTGTGATCCAAACAGACCCCAAAAATCAAGAAATTACCTTTCCATAGCATTTGTTCCCTTCTCCAAAGAATTTTCCATGATCCAAACGTACCCAAAAATATCTGTTTTCTGAAGTTTGTGAACTCTGCGGTGATGCCTATGCCTGCCTGCATAGGTAAACAAGGAAATTGTAAAGATTCAGAGAGTACTGGCTCCTGTGGGGCAGACGCTGCTAAAGAGCCTCATTGAAGCCCATGTGGTAAAGACATTGTGAATTCACTCGCTTTTGGTTCTAATAGTTTTTGCCAACCAACACACGATATTCTTTATCTTATTTTTTTTAACTATCCAGGAAAAAACTGGGAGTAGCAAAGGCTTTGCAGTTCTGAAAGATTGGGATAAATATTTGCCACTCTTTTGGCAGCTCGTCCCGCCTAGCGAAGAAGACACTCCAGAAGCATGTACCGAGTATGGGCAGGTCAGTTTTCAGCCTGCATTTGAGGGGGAGATGAAAAGGACATAAAAACTTTAAACAATTTTATCATTTTTAATCTTGAAAAAAAAAGAAAAAAAAGGAATAATCAAAGTTGATGTGAGGCCTAAGGCAGAAGATTTTGAGTCTTCTGCACAGAAAACATTGCTCCCATCTTTAAAATGTTTCCTTTGTCCCATAATTTTCTCCTTGGTTTGACTTGACATGATTTCTAATAAAGTAGAATGTGTATAATTATGGTTTGTGAAGAGAAAAAAAAAATGTCATAGACTCAATATTTTTTTCTTTAAAAGGAAAGATGAAGAAATTTACTAGACAACCTAAATAGGAAAATAGAAAGATATTTATAGGATAGAGGGAGTATGTAAGAAGGAGGTACCCTTTGCCCGAGTTTTGAGAATTCAATCGGTGAATGATTGTGTTGTGTTTCAATTGGTGCTCTCTGAAGCACGGGTTCTTCAAAAAACAGCCGCACGAACCCGGGTGTGGTGGTGCGGCTGGGTATTTTTTCCTTTGTGTTATGTTCTTTCCTTTGTGTTTTTATTATCTTAAAAGTTAATGCAATCTTTTTTTTCAATGAATGAATGGAACCTTTGACTTTATTGGGCATAGTTTAAAAAATTCAAAATTAAATTCGACATGTATTTTACCCCTTTGATCGCATATCCATACCGTTTTGTTACGTCCACACCAAAATACTCCCTCTATTTCAATTTATGTCGTCTGTTTTGATTTATGATATTTTTTTGAAGTTATTTTTGATACAATTTATTTAAGAATTAAAGCAAATTTAAAAAAAGTTATATATTAAAGAATTACATTAAAAGCTCTACGAAGCAGGAGGTGACATGAGTATATCATTTTGTCGAATGAATAACTAAGATAAGATAAAAGATGTCATATTTTCATTTGTCTATCAGAAGAAAAGTCTCATTTTTATAAAAGAATAATCTTTTATGATCTATTTTTTACACACACACATGCACACACGCACACCCGCACAGACGCGCGAACGCTCGTGCACGCGCCCACACGCGCACATGCACACACACACGCACCACTTCATCAATTTCTACCATGCTGATGCATTTGATTTCATTTACAATCATTAAATCACAAAAACTCATTTAGATGCATCTGATTTCTACGCACACACCCGCGCGCACCCACCCACCCACGCGCGCACACACACCACTTCATCAATTTTTACCATGCTCACAAAAACTCATTTAGATGCATCTGATTTCATTTAGAACCATTAAATCATATTGCGTAGTTTTCTTCTCTCTTTATGACTATGTTCTAGATAGTGTGTTGCCCTTATTTGGTTTTGTTTTAAACTTGTTTGATGTTTTTCCTACTCTCTATTTTCCCTATTCAAAGTTTTATGAGGTGATTTATTAAATGAATGAGTATTAATCATTATTTTTATTTCTTGAAAAAATATGAACACAAGCTCTAGCAGAGCTTTTATTGTTGATGAATGTTTGGTAGATAGTGGTAGTACCAACACAATCCTAAAACACAAGAAAATAAGAAATATTTTTCTGAATTATTTCAAATCAAAACACTTTTTGGTACTATTTCGGGTGTTAGTAACCTAATTGAAGGCTCCGGAAGAGCATGCAGCATATTACCTTTGGGTACCAATTAATCATAAATGATGCATTATACTTGATACATCAAGAAGAAAATTACTTAGTTTCAAAGATATTCGTCAAAATGGTTACCACCTCAAAACTACATCTGAAAACAGAAGAGAATACCTACAAATTATTTTCAATGAGGACATTTTAGAAATGCTAGAAGCTGTATGCTCTAGATTATATTGTACTAATATAAATCCTATTAAGTCATATATGGTAAATAACTAGAAGTTACTAGATAAAGATACATCTACTATATGGTATGACCGACTAGGTCACCCTGGCAGTACAATGATGAGACACATAATAAAAAAATGCAAACGAGCATCCACTCAAAAATCTAAAAATTTGACTGCCACAAGACTTATTATGTGCAGCATGATCTCTTGGAAAATTCATTACACGGCCCTCTCAAACAAAATTGATACATGAAAATCCCTCATTCTTGGAAAAAATCCAAGGGGGCATATCTAAGCCAATATACCCTCCATGTGGACCATTTCGCTATTTCTTAGCATTGATTGATGCCTCCTTGCGATGGTCACATGTGAGTCTTCTAGCTATTAGAAATGTAGCATTTACCTTATTTTTAACTCAAATTACACAATTAAGAGTGCATTTCCTAGAAAATCACATTAAAAATATTTGAATGGATAATGCGAGAGAATTCACATCCCAATCTTTTTATGATTATTCCATGTCAATTAGGATAAATGTTGAACATCCTGTAGCTCATGCTCATACACAAAATGATTTAGCTAAATCATTAATTAAACAATTACAGTTAATTGCTAGACCACTTCTGATGAGAAGTACATTGCCATTTTCTACATGGGGGCATGCTATTTTACATGCTGCTGCATAGATCAGAATAAGACCAATTGTTGATCAGGAACACTCCTCACTGCAACTAGTCTTCGGAAGAGAACCAAATCTGTCCCATTTAAAATATTTGGTTGTGCAGTTTATGCCCCAATACCCACCATAACGTACTAAAATGGGACCCTAGAAAAGAATGGGCATTTCTAATTGTTTTAACTCTGCGTCTATAATTAAATGTTTAGTTACATCAACGGGAGATATGTTTATAGCACGATATGCTGATTGTCAACTTAATGAGATAGTATTGCCAGTCTTAGGGGGCGAAAAGAATAAAGAAAGACTGGTAACACAAGAAGTAATATAGAATGTATCATCATTATCGATATTCGACCCAAAAGTGATCAATGTGATTCTAAAGTCCAAAAGATCATACATTTGCAGCAAATAGCAAATGAATTACGAGATGCATTCATAGATACAAATAGAGTGACAAAGTCACATATACCAGCATCCAATGCACCTCCTCGTATTGAAGTAATCCTAGAAGCAATTACCATAAAACGAATGTATGGGAAAGGAATAGATTTCAAAGATAAGAAACCATGAAAACGAAAAGAGCAAAATAGTGCAGTTGGTGAAACCACAGAGAAGATTATGAAAGATACTCCTGTAGATGTAAATGTCCCTGAAGAGACTAATACATTTCAAGAGGAAAATGATATTCTTGAAGAAAAGATCGGTACCAAATAAAAGTGAGATTTTCATTAATTATGTATAAGACAATACAATATGGAACTTGTATGAAACACGTGTTGATATTTTTGCATATACTATAGCAATGGATGTACTAAATGAGAATGATTACATACCTAAACCTCTAGAAGAGTGCATGCACATGAATGATTGGCCAAAATGGGAAGAGGCTGTGAATGCCAAACTTGAATCACTTCACAAATGAAACATTTTTAGACCTGTAGTCCGAACACCCATAGACGTCAAACCAATGGGTGTGCAATAAAATGAAATGAAAAGCATGAGATTATGCAATATACGCCTCGACTTGTAGCAAAAGGGTTTTCCCAAATCCTAGGAGTTGATTATGAGGAAACGTACTCCCCTATAGTAGATGCGATAACACCTAGATTCTTAATGGTCTCGCAATCTCAGGAGGACTTCGGATGAAACTTATGGATGTTGTCACAACATACTTATATGAGAAACTTGAGAATAACATCCATATGAAAATACCTAAAGGGTTCAAAATGCCAGAAGCATTAAAAATCAGTACCTCTAGACATGTGTGCTATACAACTCAAAAGATCTTTATATGGTCTCAAGCAATCTGGTCGTATATGGTACAATCGACTTAATGAATATATAAAAAAACGTGGCTTTAAATCTGATGTAATTAGCCCATGTGTTTTCATAAAAAGATCACTCTCTAAATTCACTATTATTATAGCTGTTTATGTTGATGATATAAACATCATTGGATCTCCTAAAGTGATAGAAAAAACTGCAGAAATCTTAAAAAGGGAATTTTAGATGAAATACCTTGACACAACTAAATAATTTTCGGTTTACAATTTAAACATTTGTGCAATGGCACATTCATCCATGAGTCAAACTACATCCAGAAGATGTTAGTATGTTTTAATATGGACAAAGCACATCCGTTGAGCTTACACATGATTGTCCGATCCTTAGATATACATGAAGATCCTTATCGCCTCTAAGAAGAGGGTGAAGAAGTACTTCGTCCGGAAGTACCATATTTAAGTGTTATCGGTGCATTCATGTACCTTACAAATAATACAAGGTCTAATATTGCATTCTCAATACATTTATTAGCAAGATTCATTTCAAACCCAACACGTAGACATTAGAATAAGATAAAGTAAATACTTTGATAGATTTGTGAGACGCGAGACTTAGGTCTCTTTTACCAGAAAGATGAAAAGTCCCAACTTCTAGGGTATGCTGATGCTGGGTATCTATCAAATTCACACAATACACATTCTCAAACAGGTTATGTGTTCACGTACGGTGGTACAATAATTTCCTATAAGTTATCAAAGCAAACTCTAACGACAACATCATCAAATCAAGTTGAATTGGTAGCATTTTATGAAGCTGGTCGAGAGTGCGTCTGGTTGAGATCGATGATTAACCATATACAAGGAGCACGTGATTTGGAATAAATCAAGAAGAATCCTACAATTATATATGAAGACAATACAACATGCATAGCTTAGATGAGGGAAGGCTACATCAAGGGAGACAGAATGGAGCACATCCTACCAAAGTTTTTCTCAACATATGATCTGCAAAAAGAAAGAAAGATCAATGTTCTTCAAGTTAAATCAAGCGAAAATTTGGCAGACTTATTCACCAAATCTCTGCGTAGACATAATTCCGAGCAACTCATAAAGAAGATTGGATTTCACAGGCTAAAAGAGATAAATTAGTTTGAGGGGGAGTATAATTTTATTTTATGGGAAAATATTATACACGATGTACTCTTTTTCCCTTAACTAAATTTTATCCCACCGAGTTTTCTTAGTAAGGTTTTTAATGAGGCAGGATAACTGATCCTGTAGTATCTGTTAATATAGGTCCTGAAAAACCTAGCCAACATTATCTAGTAGCATAATGTTGTTAGGGTATAATGAAAGATGATATATATGAGGGAGAGTGTTAAATATGGTAGGTATATTTCTCTTATTATTTAGAATATATATCTTCTTTCCTTATTTACCTAGACTTAATTACCACTTTACATGTATGCATAAATACTTCAACCTATGATGAATAAATTAAAGTATCGAGTTTACAACAGTATTTTTATTTTAATCAGCTTCTATTGTTTTGATTTATATACTCTACCATGTATTTTATTATTCTTTGAGTAATATAATTATTCAATAAAAATGAAGAAAGGGAAATGGTAGACATCCATGGGGTAAAAATGAGTAGGTGCACTTAGTTGGCTAGGGAGTGAGTGGGGTGGGCCGTGGGTAGGCCGCCGCCCGCCAGTGAATGAATGATGAGCACTAATTAATAACCAATTAACCAACATGTCCAAAAAGGACAAATGCTTAAATGGTCCAAATACAGATGTATTGTGTATATATCATCTGATGATCGTCGATCTTCTCAGTCCACAGCCCTTTTCTTTGCTTATTTTGATTTTATCGTAAAGACAAAGCAAAAAATCTCATGCCTAGAACCCTACGTTAATAGGTCGTCGGTCAACTCGAAGCCATATATGCTTAAGGATGAACCTCATTCTTTAATTTTAATTGAAATAAATTAATGAATAATGCTAGGGGTACACCAAGGCCCCGTTTGGCATCAGCGTTAGAGATTAGCGTTAGCGTTTTGAAAAAGCTATCCGACGGTAGCTTTTTGGCCTGTTTGGGAATAGCGTTAGAGGTTAGCGTTAGCGTTTTGGATAAAAATTTAACGGTGCAGATTACTTTGAAAACGCTAACTCAAAACGCTGCTCGTAGATAGCTTTTTCAAAACGCTAACGCTATTCCCAAACAGGCCCTTTAGCGTTAGCATTTTCTGAATTAATCTACACCGTTAATATTTTATCCAAAACGCTAACGCTAATTGAAAACGCTCTTCCCAAACAAAGCCCAAATAGTGTACCCCATTTGTCCCTCACCCCTCCTCCACCACATAACCACGTAAATTAATTTATAATCTCTTGGGACAACATAGGAACACTAGGCAGATAGGGGCAACCCTATGGCTTACTTAGGGACATGTAACATTTCAATCTCGTCAATTAACTACTATATCATGGTCATTAATTTTGATTAGAACAAAAAACTTTGTCTTCAATGGTCATTAATTCATTTTTTTATTTTAAGAAAATCAAACTTATATTCTTATAAGGAGCATGATTTAAATTTATATATTACGGAGCACATTAATTTTTGTTCCATCTGATTTAAAAAAAAAGTCCAATTGAAAGATATAAATATTTTAAAATTTGTTTTAAAAAAAGGAATTCTTATAAGAATATATAATCATGCCAAATGGATTGATGTAACTAACAAATGGAGAGAGAGATGATCCTTTACAAAATTGAGGGATAAATTTAGTACCAAATACAACGTAGGCCTCACACTCTTGGTATCTCCGGTTTGCCACCTTCATTCAATCTTTGGGGTTTCACGGGTGCAAGTATCTTCTTGTGTCATCAGGGCTCGGACATGGCATACCTTCTGCTCTATGTTGATGACATTGTTCTCACGACATCCAGATTTGCTATGACAGACATAGGGGACTTGCATTTCTTTCTTAGAGTGAATGTTCAGCGTACCGCACGAGTTCTTTTTCTTCATCAGACACAATTTACTCATGAGATTCTTGAAGCGCAGGTATGACAAACTCCAAGCCTATTTCCACACCTGTCGACACCAAAGGCAAGTGGAGCACCGATGCAGGTCCACCGGTCGCGGATCCTGCCCTCTATCGCTCCTTGGTTGGGGCCCTACAATATCTGACTTTCACACGCCCGGACATCTGATACGAAAGTATCGGGATTGGGAAGCTTCGAGTGCTCCCAAACTCCAAAAATTTAGGCAAAGAGAGAAAGAAAGAGAATCGGCGCTGGTGGCGGCCGAACCTCATGTAGAGAAGGAGAGAGATGATCGATTAGGGTTTTAGTTGTTTGATTGCATGCCTTCACAAAGTAGCGTACCTCTCCTAATATAGTGGAGAGAAGCAAAACCCTTTAATCCTAATTACTACGTTTTCTATCCTGACGGTTCAAGAAAAAGCGACGAGGTAAAGAACCGCAAATAAACCCTCGAAAAAGCTTATAGATACGCTCACCTAACAAAATCTAATTGACAATAATTATAATTAATAAATCAAAAGTTCTAAATAAAATAATCTTTCTGCCACGTGGGAAGCCGCCTAGCCCTTGAACTCCTTCGCATGTCCGGTACCACGTCCGCATGCGCTCCCTCGGCTTCCTCGGCCCGAACCACCTCGTAATCGATGTTAGGCTCGATCTGTATCCTCGCGGCCGCGGCCCATAACATTGCTGCCCATATCTTCCGTTAGTTCCCGGGCCACATCGTTCATAACAACATCACATATGCGGTGCAACAACTTTGTCTCTATCTTCATGATCCCAGGTCCGTACATCTTACTACTTTAAAACGGGTCCTTCGCTATCTTCACGACACACCTGCCCATGTGATAACTCTCAATAAATGTCGAACCGATCAGCTTCAGGCATACTCGGATGCCGATTGGGTCGGTTGCCCAGACACCAGGCCAGGAAGTCTACGTCTGGGTATTGTGTATTCTTGGGGGGATAACTTAGTCTCGTGGTCCTCCAAAAGTACAATGTGGATGCACTATCAAGAATATTCTTTTCTATATTAAATATTTCTCCATGAATAAAAAGTAAATTACTCTTGGCTTTAATGAGTTTACACTGTACGGAAGACTCCTTGGTTTATTAATATATTGTGAATTTTGTTCAAAAAAAAATGCTAGGTTCAAAAGTACATAGGCGTATCTAGAGTAATAGGACTGGGGCACTTGTTCCCAATAATTTTTCAAAAAAAATTAATTAGTAGTGTTATTATCCGGTTTTTTTAAAATAGTAGTGCTAATACTTTCACAAAAATATTTGTATGTCCCTATAACTTTTCTCATTCAGCATTTACCTAAAAAAAGGAGCGCTACCCCCACACCCCGCCCTATTCTTGCCCCCAGTTTCTGGATCCGCGACTGCATAAATATAACACTTACCGGAATACTAATATTTTGAGTTTATTCCATATATCCCAAAAAGCATATATATACACATAATAGATGCACATATGCAAGTATTTGAAGCACAAATAATTAATATAATCTACGTATATACTTCCTCGCCCATAAATAAACTTTTCGTTCACTATTCACAGTGTCAAACTTTATTCACTTTGTTGGCCTATTTTCGTCACCCATTTGATAAAATAATATAGTCATATCACCTCTAGTTTTGTAGATCTTTTGATATAATTTTTAATGTGTAATTTTTATTTTTAAATTTGACACCATTTTTCAAATAAAATAATTTGAAAATAACTTCAGTCAAACATCGTAACGCGCAACGAGAAGTTTATCTGTGGACAGAGAGAGTATTCACGTATAAACATACAGATCGAGTATCATATAATTAAATTAACGACTCATCCCTTATAACTACCTTAATTAGGATTCAACTACCTTAACGAATCAACAATTTAAATCATGATTAAAAAAAAAGTGAAATTTGCACTGAATAGGACTAACACATAATGACTTTGAAAGAAATATTTGGGAAGAAATTCTCTGTATATTTAATTGCCTTGTGAAAACTTGTTTTGAATACAAAGATCTAACCCTCTCTATACAGGAAGAGGGTAAAGTAAACAAGGAAATTCATATTTCTACTAAAATAAGAATTAAACAAACTAGGAAAGATACTAAATACTAAACCTAATCCAACTAGGAAAGATACTAAACCTAATTCGAAAGGGATTGGCTTTCCTTCCTTCCTCCCCCTACTTCTTGTTCAATACTTCAATTCCTCTTCCCCTTCCTTTTTCCAGCGTGCTTCGTGCATGACTGTGTCCTGAGAGAGCTGTTAGAGAGAGAGAGAGCCCACATGCAGGCTGCTTGACAAATAATGGATGGATGAAAGTGTCAAGAATAATTCAAGAGGAATTTACCTAAATAGCACTAAAACATAATAACTTTCCCTAAATAGCACTACATATGTTTTTCTTCCCAATGTAGCACTTTTAGTCACAGTTTAAGTGCTATTTAGGGAAATGACTTAAGTTTTAGTGCTATTTAGTGCAAATATTTCATAATTCAAATGGGTGAGTACCAAAAAAAAGAAAGAAAAAAAAACAGCTCAGGATATACGGTATCGTATAATTAATTAATTCATGTCGGTAGTAGAGTAGGTAATTAATTAGAGTGTATATATACTCGTACGTACGCCGTATAATGTTGGGGCCGGGGCTAGCCCAGGCAGGCAGCTGCGGGCGGGGCGGCTAACCGATTAGCTAGCTAGCTAGCTAGGGGTGGCTTGGATAAATGGCGGCCGAAAAAGCAAGCGAAACCATGATAAGAAGTGGGGTGAATAGGAGAATCGCCGGCGGTGGAGGCGGGGGCACCGGTATCGGCAACAGCGGCGGCAACGTCATCAGAACCAACCCGAAGACAGAAACTGCCACGGCGGCGGCGGTACACTTTGGACGACGACGACGACGACGATCAAACATCATCACCATTATTATTCAACTCTAATACGTACTCCGATCCAGTCGTCGTCGTCGTCTTTCACCACATGCGACTATGTATATATGTAATTCTTTTTCTTAATCAATTTAAGTCTCTTGGCTTTCCTCCGTCCATTCATATATTGTACTCTCCCGTATATCTCTGCAAATTACTGTAATTCATTATAAGAAGAATTGCAGAAGAAGAAGAACGAAGAAAGAAGATGAAAAGCTAGCTATCGCTGATAAAGCAATTAAAGGCGGGGTATATAACACTAATATAAGTGTTTAATTTATATAAACACGCCGCACGTACCTATGGCGGCTCTACATAGAGAAAGAAATCTGCTACTACCTCCCTACCTCATTAAGGAGTATTTAATTTACTCTTATTTAGTGCAAATTTCACTTTAATTTATTCATTTTTTATGACCTTTTGCATTCAATTGTTTTTAATTTTTAATTATAATTAAATAAAATACTCCCTCCATCCTTGAAAACTTTTTTCCTTTCTTTTTTCATCCGTCTCAAAAACCACTTCTTATTTCTATTAAAAAGTCATTTTTACCCCTTATTTTTTCATACTCTACCTATCACATCATACTTTTTTACTAATAATCTACCCATCAAATCCTACTTTTACCCATCACATCAAAGAAGGACATTTTTGGAAATTCAATACCAAAATACACTCTCCTTAAATCTTTTCAAAATCAAAACATCTCATGTTTAAAGGGACTGAGGGAGTATGTATTATATATTTATTAGATAAATAATTTATTGAAAATATTTAATAAAATGAATCTAATAAAAATCTTTTTAAATCAATATTTAATATCATATTAATTTAATTTTTGGTCAATTTTACCAATTTCAACAAAAAAAATTAAAAGTAGATAAATAATAAGGGACAGATGGAGTAATAAATAGCCAAATATTATGATATATCTTACGAGTTACGAGTATTGAAGTGCAATACTAGTACGTAGTATTTCCTCCTTCCTAAAAAGATATTCTTATTTTGACTTTAAAAAATTTAAAAGAGATATTTTTGTGTGATTTTCTAAAGTATCTTTGATGTGATTGGTAAATTATTAGTAAAACAAGTATGATGTGATAGATCGGTTAAGAATTACTAGAGATAAAAAAAGTTTTTAACAGAAAGATCAGAGGAAGGATTTTGTGTAAAAAAGGAGAATGGGTTTTGAGAAAGAGGAAGTACTTTTTTGTACGTTAGCTAAGCTCTTTTTTATTGATGTTCAAGGCCACGTTTGGCATCAGCATTAGAAATTAGCGTTAGTGTTTTGAAAAAGTTATTCGACGCTAGCATTTAACGTTAGCATTTTCAGAATTAATCTATATTATAAAAAATTTATCCAAAACCCTGATAAAAAATGTTGTTGCCAAACAAGGCCCAAATCTTATCGGCCTTCATACTCCCTATTAATTTATTGGTTGAGTTATATATCCTCCTCCACAAATTAGATATTACAATTTGAAAAATGTACAAAATCCCATCATTTTTAAATTTAATGTCTAGAAATTAGTGTATAAATAAAAATTTCAACTTAAATATTTCAAAAACCGTTTTCCGGTGTCACTAGAACCGGGTCGATATATATATATATATATATATATATATATATATATATATATATATATATATATCATATGAATTACATTCTCCCTACATCCGAACTTAATTGTTTACTTTCTTGTACATGGAGTTTTTGTTTAAATAAAATTGAATTGTTAACTTTTCATATTTTATAAGTTATCTAAAATAATCTAAATTTAGGAAAGTCATTGACATGAATGAGTAACAAACTCATCTAAAACTCTTACTCCGTATTACAGAGCATTTCATATTCTAAACTAATTGCTCAAAAGTAAAACTTTTATGAAATTACACAATCAAATCGATCCGGACAGTGAGCATTTAAAATTTACATAAAAATTTTTACAAAATGATATGATTATTTTAATTTAACAAATGTGAGAGATTATGATTTGCACCCGGCATTGCAGATTTGCAGTTTCAATGTCACAAAGAAAAGGAAAAATCTAGAGATACCCCAAGTGTACACCACCTTCCACAGACACACAGAGACACCGAAACACAGACAGTAGGTGTTTGTGTGTGTCTGTGAGAAGATAGTGCACACTTGGGGTACACCGTCTTAGGGTACACCTAGCAAATCCCCAAAGAAAATCATTGCTCTTAGATTCAGTACTTCTTTATATTGGTGGGATCTAACTGCGTTATTGTTGTCGTATGACTCGTAAAAATTTGCAACAGCATGAAAACAGATGTTGTAACAGAAGAGCAAACATGAGAGTCACTTGAGACACAACAACACTTCCAATGTGGCAACAATCTCTGCATAGATTAATGTTTGGGTTTTTTTACGGTTTCATATCAAGTAAGAAGACATGAGATTCCAACTAATCTTCATGTGAGATGGCATCGGAGCTACAAACCGAAGAAGATCTGGTTTCGAAGCCATATCACTACTATTTCTACAAGGTTCTGAGGCTTTACAATGACGAAGCTGTTCAAGGAGCTTGGCAATGTTTGGAAGTACAAGCTCCCGACAATGCAGATGCAGCAATGGAACCTTAGACAACACACTTCCCTTTTGGACATCCAACCCTTCGGGCCTGCGCACTCTGTACTGTTTCCTGGTTGTGGGCTCCACTTCAACTCTCGGCATCTGCTTCCACTTTTTATGAACGAACCAACCATACTTGTAATCACCCACGATTGGACAACCGAGCGCTTCAGCACAGTGCACGCGGAGCTGTTCACAATGACAGAATTACTGTTTCTAAGTGTTCATTGCTGTAATTAAGGTAAGTTTATGGTTCGAAGGTGGTCGCTTCAAAGTTACTACAAATGATTAGTATGTATTAAGCTAGCGCGGATTTTTTAAACAAAATTAACAAAATCAATGTGCAAAGAGGGGAGAAAGAAATGATGGCACCTGATGTTTTCTGCTTGTACGTGGACACAATTCTATCCAAGAACAACCATTGATTTTAGGACCCAGGACACGGTATTCCGTGACAGCCTCCTGGGGAGCTTCTAAGCTTGAGTTCTGAGCTAAGATGACTCTTTCAGTTTTCCCATCATCAAGAGACACCTGTTAGAGGAGGACAGGTTCCTTCACTCAATATGTCTAGATATTATTGCAATAGAGAAATTGAAGCAGAACCTTTGAAAGAGGTGCAGATATTAAGCCTTCCTTTTCTTTGGGGGAACCTATTACTAACGCCCAATATCTTCGATATGTTCCCTTACTACAATCATCCCACACCTGAAGAAGGTCAAAGTTCCCATTAAAAATACTCTAATTTGAAGAAAAGTATAACTTAAATTAAAAATAAAAAAAAGATGATGATGACTTTAGATAAAAGCAGGGGATAGATCTCCTAATACTGCTTCAACTCATTGGGTTTGCAGAAGTTAGTACCTGTGATTGAAATTTCTTTTTTGTTGAGTCGCTGAGAAACAAATGAAGAAGGGATATGCTTTCATCTGTTCTTCCCATCAAAAGAAGACCACTGCTCTCCCTATCAAGATGATAGACCTGCATAATAGAAATTATACTCCGTAAGAGAAATTAGGAGAAATTAAGTGATACCGCAGAACTCCATTTTAGAAAAATCATCAATAAGCCGATCAGTGATGACAATAAATTATACTCCGTAAGAGGCTTCTCTTACCAGCCTAGGGCCCACGTCATAATCATAAGAAAGTGCAGCAGCTGCCAAGGCATCCATGCTATTGTGAACGGGAAGGTTTCCCTGATATCCAATAATAAGATACGGGATATGACGAAAGAATCACTTGAACGAAATCAGAATATCAGACAAGCCTAATAAATAAAAAAGATGCTACCTTTACTGGAAGTTTAGGAGGCTTATTCAGCACAATTAAGGCAGAGTCCTGGAAGATTGACGGCTAACCATTAGTTACAGAAACAATGCATACAAACTATTGTGCACAATTCAGAAACAAAATTTAGATATCAGGACTAAATGGACATGTTTGATGGTAATTTAATTCATTCGTCTAAAATTCTTAAGTTGGGAAACGTACCTTGTAAGTTACCAGCCGCTGTAGGTAGGCTATCTCATCAGCATTGGGATACAGGGTTCCACTTGGTATAATATCAAAGCGCTTGGAAATTCTGGATTCTGCAATGGTTACAGATACATGAACTCTTGCACCCATCTCCATGACCTCATAATGCCTAATCTGTGAAATTACTATACTAAAGGTAAGTGAAATCCGAAGAACAAAAGAAGTTTATCAAGAGCATTTCTTCGTCCTTTTTTTTTCTGCTGTCAAAAAGTTGAGCAAAACTGCTGGCTCATGACACATCCTAAACTCCTAATAGCATCACTACCTTTCTCATGGAAATTTTAGACGAATCATTTGAATCACGGCATTCAACCTGCACCTGTGAGAGTGCAAAACCATGGATTCAGAACAAAGAAAACCTTATGATTCTCTAATCGTATATATTGACGACATGATCAAACAAATGCAGGATCCAGCACAGAGGTTAAAGTTGATGGCGTTTTAAGATGCTAGAAAATTCATGGAATCACTTGCATTTTGATTTAATTTAGTATTTGACCAATTCCATCAAGTTCTGATTTGTATTCCTTTTTTTCTTGGCTATAAAACCTCAAAATGCCAAAAAAAAACATGTTTTTGGATTAGCAAATTAACATCAAAATTTATGGGAAAGAATTAATTTAGCAATGCTCACCAGACCCTGATTGAAATGGGATTGAATAACAGGACCAGGTATTTCGTCAAAGTAATATTTGAGCCAGCTAATGGCAGTAACTCCCCGACCAGGAGGGGTGGTAGACTTCTTTCTGGGCAAATGGAGACCTTGAAATGGCGGCAAAGCCATGAACTGAGGCGGCCTTGGCCCTTCTTTGGGGCGGCCCAAACGGGTGACATTGTTTGAAACTCGGATCACGGGGTTTTCAAGAGAAATGTCGAATCTTTGCTTGGAGTAACACCTGACCGTGAAGAACAATTTAGGGTTTAGCCCTCTTTTTCTCATGCTCGGCACATGCTCGATGAATTTCCAGCAAATGGACCAGCACTAGTTACACTTTCTTAAATTATGTAGCTACGGAGTACAAATTGGCTGAGTTATGGGTGTTTAGCCTTCTTCCATATTGTATGCACTCATAAATTTCAGGCTAAGGTTTCTCTGCAAAGACCACTACCACTCCACCAATTGAGCTTGTTTCATTCACGGCCTGCAAATGGATCGGAATTAATAGCTTCAAATTTGTAATACTCCATAGAACTTGATTTGTACCCAACACCTTCTTAAGACCCGATCAAGCCCACAACCCATAATATTATACTAATAATATTATACTAATGAGAGGTTGGAGGGAGGATATGTGCGGTTTTAACATGTGGTATTAGAGCCCCAGTTCATGAGGGCAAGGATAGTCGACCAAGCTATGCAGGGTTTTCGGTGTGCCCAGTGTGACAAGTGACAACATGACTGGAGATCTGTAGGTGCCTTGTTCCGGATGTCTTCCTGACGCGGTTCTAGATAATTTACCTGATCAAATGGGTGATCTTAGTGTATTGGTGGTCTGCGATATACCTTGTGTCGAAAGTCGTGTCTCGCAGGTGTGTAGCATTGGTGCAAGATGGTGTTCCGTAGACCTGGCATCGGGTCAATCAGTTCGGTTCTGGTTCAGGTCTTTTTGGTTCGGGTCTCTTTCGGATATATGTTATAATCAGTTCGGGTCGGTTCGGTTCGGGTCAGTTCGGTTCCGAGTTTATTTCGGTTTGACTGGTTTTCGGTTCGGTTTCGATTCCGGTTCGGGTTTGTATCGGTTCGGGTTTATATCACTTTGAGTTTGTATCAGTTCGGGTTTGTATCGGTTCGGGTTTATATCGATTCAGGTTTGTATCGGTTTAGGTTTATATTATTTCATGTATATTTTAAATATATACTAATAAACCAATAGTATCGCATAATAAATTTAGTCAATTTATGATATACTTCGTAGTTATTTTATTATTTAACACGGACGTACATAAAAAATAACACTTACATAATTGACTAATTGTTACGTTCTAAAGTTTTCCCTCTTAAAATTTTTGGCGCGACCTTTTAAGTTAACATTCTACTTCGTACTTCCTCTATTTCTATTTAACTATCCATTTTACTTTGTGTGTCAAATATTTGAATAACTATATATAAAGATATATAATGAATTAAAATATACAGAGTAAAAGTTATTACCAAAATGTTGGTATTAAAAAATGCTTTAAATGTATTCTTTTTAATATTTTTTGCTAATATATTTAAAGAGACGATGTTGGTCAAACTTTAAGTTCGAAGACGAAAAAATATAAAAATACTTTAACTTAAGTTATAAAATACGGAGTAAAAGATTTGTACATGAAAGTAGTTACATGGTTTGCACCTATAATTTAAATATGTTTTTTTAGAAACACATCAACATATGTAAAAATATATCGGTAATTCTTTTTCTCCAAGTTCATTTGATAAATGAAATATTAATAAATTTGATCAATTATGGGTCTAACCGGTTCCGGGTTTAATCGGTTTCGGGTTTAATCGATTCGGGTTAAGTCGGGTTCGGATCTGAATCAGGTCTGAATACGTTCGGTTTCAGTTCGGTTCGGTTCGGTTTCAGTTCGGTTCGGTTCGGATCATTTCAGATGTTCGGTTCTATTTCGGTTCTTCAGTTTTCGGTTCCATTCGGGTTTGATTTCGGGTAATTCGATTCGGGTTATGGGGTTCGAGTTAGTTTTGCCAGGTCTAGTGTTCAGATAAAAATAATCGCTGAAGTGGAGGTCACAAGTTTTGTGGTCGTTAGTTTGAGAGAGATTTGTTGGGATGCAAACTTCTCCCTCACCGGAATAGAAAAAAAGACACACACACACAGACATATTATATATATATATATATATATATATATATATATATATATATATATATATATATATATGGTTACTTACTTAACCTCACTGGTATGAAGCCTTTTGAAGGTGTATCTAAAAACAAATTTTGTGAGCTGATGGATATCGGGTCGGGTAGACCCGACTCCAGGGTCAAATAAAGGCCTGTAATAAACCAAAAGGTGTAAGGACAGATGGAGATAATGGGCCGAGCCCATTAGTGCGCATATGGCAGCTAGAGAAAGACGGCCCAGTCATGGGATCAATAAAGGTGACCCAGTCCAAGAAGGGAGTGGGACACGTGGCCCACGTCATTGGGTCATAGACAGAGTGGGAAGAGAACGAGATCAGAAAAGAGGGAATCACGACCCCACGATCTCCATAATCCTTTCCATTTTGTATAATTTTAATTATATTATTAGAGATACTATAAAAAGGGGGAGAACCCGCCATTGTAAAGAGGGAGACAATTGACTACTCAATAAAAGAATATTATCGAGTGGTTATATCTTCTTGATTTATATTACGTTCTTGGTCCGCCATCTGATCGGGTTAATCCCATCATGAGCGTTTCACCAAAGCAGACAATATCAACTAATGTGTGGCTGGGGTTAGAGTGCACGTGACCCCAACAACATATATAGTTACATTTCTTTAAAATATCAAAGTTTTTATACAATCAATTATTTTAAAAAAAAACTAAAAAAATTTGATTATTTTTAAATTCATTACTCTTGAGACAATTATTTTCAAGAAACTTAAATGATATTTCATACAAATAAAGTTAAATACTTAAATATATTTTTGATTCCTGTAAAATTAGTGAATTTTGTTTTTGGTCTCTCTAAAAAAATTATTAATTTAACCATACCTATAAAATTATTTGTTTTGCAAATACTTCACCACTAATTTAAATATATGTGTTGTTGGAACCTATAAATATTACGTGGCATAAATTTTAGTCTTAACCCCTCCAAAATTCTTTTGCTTCCATTCATCCATTTGTGTTTTAAAATGATTAAATACTCCATAAAAGATTACATCTTTCATTTTATTCAAAATATACTTAATTAGTACAAGGTCTAAGCGAGTAGCAATAGAACCAAATTTTATTGGGTGCCAAATAAACATTGTAGTCTACTAATTTAGCTCAAATGACATATTTGATAGCATCAACAATAAGCACATGAAGATTGGTCTCTTAAATAAGATCAATGAATAAAGCAAACAAAAGTAATTGATTTCAGGACGTAAGAAATATATATTATGAATCAAAGGATGAATTGCATTAACCTTGGTAGAGGTGCTTTATACAAAATGCACAACCTACCTTTGCTACAAATGAGGAGTGCCGATGCTACATACGTGGATCAAGGCAAAGCTAATCCTAAGTAAAAGGGATAACAACAACTATTCAAATGTACAAAGAAATAGTCAAATATGGAATTATGAATTATCCTTAACATGCCCCCTCAAGATGATATCTGTCGGTTGGTCGCAAGATGGTATATGATGAACATGCAAAAGGTTGGCAGCAACAAGATCATGAACAAAGAAATAGTCAAGAGCCAGATGCTTCATGCGCGAGTGGAAGACAAGATTTTGGAAGACATAGGAAGCACCAAGATTATCATAATACAAGACTGGTGCACGAGGAGCAGCCACACCAAGTTCACGGAGCAGATTATGCAACCATAACATCTCTGCGGTAGCATGTGCAAGGGCACGGTACTCAGCCTTAGTGGACGAACGAGAGACCGTTTTTTGTCGTGCCGACTTCCAGGAAATCAGACTAGACCCAATATAAACAACATAAGCTATAGTAGACTTACCACCATCATGCACATCACCCCAATCAGAGTCTGAGAAAACTGTGAGTTGCAATGGCACCTTAGCACGTAAGAAGAGACCATGGGAAAGCGTACCACTCAAATAACAAAGAACATGTTTTGCAGCCAGCCAATGAGTCACTGAAGGAGCATGCATAAACTGAGACAATTTATTTACAGCAAAACAAACATCAGGGTGAGTAAAAGATAAATATTGCAAGAAGCCCAACAGCTTTTGGAAGGTAGTAGAGTCAGCCGCGATAAACCCATCGTGTAGACGCGGAGAGGACGACGAAGACAAGGGAGTACAACGGAGTTTGCATCGCCATGTTGTGCTCAGCCAGAATACTGTAAATGTATTAGCGCTAAGACAAGAAAACTCCAGCACAAACCGGTATGACTTCCACTCCTTAAAAATGATGCAAGGGGCCAAGGTCTTTAAGAGAGTAGTGACTAGATTACTCATGAATAAAAGCATTGAGGGAGGCCGTAGAATTTCTTGTAAAAGAAAATACATGAATTACTTTGTATGATTATGGGTTCTAGATTGCAAAGTTACTATTGAGTATATGTTCCCAAGTGCTCCTTCCGTCCCAAATTAAATTGCTTGTTTACTATCCACCGTATCAAACTATATTTACTTTTTTTTCTTATTTTTGTTAGTCATTTGATAAAATAACATAGTCATGTCACCACAAGTTTAATAGATCTTTTGATATAGTTTTTAATTATATAATTTTTAATTTTTAATTTTACGTTGTTTTTCCTATAAAAGAACTTAAAAATAATTTCAGTCATACATTATAAATGGAGACGAGATTTAAATTAGGAGAGATGGAATAGTATTTCATCTATTCATAGTGGAAACAATGGTGATAATTCTTTCCACCAGATTAAGAAGTCTTCTGTTGTGTGGGCTTCTTTCTTTTGATTGAAAATGGCCTTTAGTTCTCAAGTCATTTCATTCTTCCAAGCAGTCCTTCTATTTTGACCTTGTATCACAGTACTCCGTACATTTCGAATAAAAAAATGAATTATGTGGTAGATAGTAGTCCCTTTGTCTAATTTTAAATTGTCTGTTTGCCTTTTTTCTCCGTCCTAAAATAAGTTGTCTGTTACTTGTTTTCGTAAACTTTTAAGAGTAAAATACCTAAACTACCCCTAAAATAAGTTACTCTTCTTCACCTTGTCTTCTCATTCATCGTCATCCCTCTTAAAAAGTAATGACAATTTCGGAAAATCAACTTTATTTTTTCTTTTCCTTAAATATGCCCAAAAATCAAAACAGGCGATTTAAAACGGGACGGAGGGAGTAGTATTTAATAACTTAAAAATAAGAATGAATGAAGCAAAAGAATTTTAGATGGACTAGAAATAAAATTTATACATTCTATTTGAATAAAAACATATACTCCCTCCGTCCTAAAAAGTCTTTCCTGTTTCATTTTTTGCGCATCTCATAAAACAGTTCTATCCCGCCTTGAATGTCAAAAAAACTTTCAAAATAACTTCTACCCACAATAAAGAAGAAATGTTGTTAATTTTAAACATTTTAGATGTCGGTAGAAGTGTTTTATGGGATGCGCAAAAAATAAAATAGGAAAGACTTTTTGGGACGGAAGGAGTATTTGAATTGAGGAAGGATTATTTGCAAAATTTGTAATTTTGTCCAACATCCAACCCGAAAAGTCACTTCCTCTAGTCAATTAAAAATTTAAGAAAAATATTGATAAATTTAAAAAAACACGTTCAATCATAATTTTTTTGAAGATAAAAACTCCAAACGCAACGAATCTCATATTTAGGTTCTACTCCCTCCGTCCCAAATTATTTGTCACATTTATATTATCGAAGCCTAAATATCAAGGTTTTTCAATTCATTTTATTTACATATTGGTAAAAAATAAAAAATAAAAATTACATATAAAAAACTACATGAAAAGTTCTTTGAAATAAATGTGTCAATAATATTTTATTTTATCAAATAACCAATGAAAACGTAGAAATAAACAAAAATTCCCGCGACTGTTGAAAAAGCAAATGTGGCAAATAATTTAGGACGGAATGAGTATAAGGAAACATGAGAAGTGCTTGTAAAGCTTATTTTGGAACGTCATACCTAAATTTTTTTAAAAAAAATGTTTAATTTTTTGTGAGATATTGAAAAGAACAAACACAATAACAAAACGTAGCCTTAGCATACCTAATATCATTTCATTATTTGTCTCCCACACCCCCCTTTACATTTGTTTTTTTGATCACCCAAAAAAAGTGTTTAGTCTGGGTCACAGTTAGGGCCTACCAGTCTTCTACTATAATAAGCTTACATTTCCATAAATACCCTTAGCCACTGTCATTCACCAGTGGCTATCATTAACAAAGTTGTGACTTGTGAGTGGATATATGCAACTCTTTCTTATCTATTGCTATCATTTTTTTTCTTTTTTGGCATTGCACCCACCCTACCAAAGGGGACTTCAACTCAGAACCCACTCCCCTCCAACTTCTTCTTCTGCTGCTTGCCTGGACTCATCAATGCTCCAAAAGGAATCTGCCACCTCAACCCCGAACCAATCGTCAAACGCCAGCTGGTATTCCAACATGGAAACGTCGAACGCTGACGTAGCAAGGTGGCCGAACCCGTCTTCCTCAAACACACTCCTAGACTCATCACCTGTTGCCACACAAGTAGTGCATGCATTTTCCTGCTTGGAGTTGTCTGGTTTTACCATTTCATGGGTTCCTGAACTTTCATGGTTTGGGGTTAGTTTGGGAAGTGGGTAGTTCGGGCTAGGCTTCGAAGAAGAAGAAGAAGATGAAAAAGACGGAGAAGGTGAACACGTCAAAGAGGAAGTATGGTCTATCTTATCGATAACCAATCTTGGCATCCAAAACCTCTTAACGGCTTCAATGAACTTGTTGCTATTCGAATCGATCTTGAGCTGCCTGGCTTGCTTCTGGACCCGCGTCCTCCAGTAATTCTTGATCTCGTTATCTGTTCTTCCTGGCAAATGTTGCGCTATTTTCGACCACCTAGCAAATCGTCACGCACACACAAGCGAACATTATGGTAAACCAAAACTAGCTACATATTTAAGGGTTTTTTTTTAATCCCATTAAAATTCGAAACATGAATATTTTATCACTCCCTCCATCCTAATGCATATTCAAGAACATACATAGCAAATTGTGAAATAGTCTCTCTACTTCACAGTAGGTGTAAGGTCTGCACGCACACCCTTTCCGAACCCTACTTTTGTGGGATTCATATTGTGTGTGTTGTATATTCTCAATTCGGAAAATAAAATGCAAAGGAAAATCAAGGACATGATTAATTTTTCCTCTCATTCCAAAATTTGGTGGTTTAAGATCATCACAGTTGCAATCTACAGGTAACTAATAAGCAAACAATGAATCAGTAACTTGTTTAAAAGTGACCTGTTCCCCCATTTGGAATGGAGTTCAAGGATTAAGATCTGTTCTTGTGGAGTTAGGTTTCCGCGTTTGATGTCGGGTTTCAAGTAATTCAGCCACCTCAGTCTGCAACTCTTCCCAGTCCTCCTCAATCCTGGAAATATATGTGTGTAAATGAATCAGACATTGAAAATAACAATGGGAAAAATTTGTTGGGGATAAACGAAGATAACGCTGATCGATTTGAGAGTCGTATAGCACTTTTCAGATTGATTATTTTGGTTGTTCAATCCAAAAATCAATCGGATAAAACTCAAAATTTTCAAGAACAAGTATGGATTGATGTGGATTTTCGAACTGTACTTTTGCGACCAAGGAACAACGGAATTTATAGAGCCGCGGAAGGGAAGAAGGCTACGGTCGTGTCTCTTGTCCAAAAAACACGTGCCTCCTTAAGGGAAAATTCGAGAATCAAAATTCAAATGAATTGTTAACATAGCACTTTGGACCCTGCAGGGGCTGCCACCCCTTGAACCCTTTTCGGGGGCGCTGCCCCTAAATCCTGCCAAAGGCGTTTCCCCCTTGGAATCCCTCTATAAGGCGGGACTTTTATCGTAACAAACTCAACGAAGCGTGCACCCCGCACGCACAAACATTGGTCAAATAGTTTTTCCAATTACACTAAAATATACAACAAAATTCACGTAAATGCTCCAAGAAAATCGTGATTTTAAGTTATCACTCTCAAATGAAAATAAAAAAACAGGGAAATTAAAGCTGACCGGCGCATTTGGCAGAGAGATTCCAGCGGCCTTCGCCGTGGGCAGCGATGTAATTGATGAGGAGAGTGTCTTCCTCGAGAGTCCATGGGCCCCTTCTGAGCTCCGCCGCTCCCGACGTCTCTTCTTCGATTGAGGTTTTGGCGGCGGCGTTAGCGACCACCATGGACATGTATGGAGATGGAGATGGAGTACTAGTGTATTTTATGTAGCAGAAATTGAAAGGCTGCTAGGGATTTTATAGTAAATGAAAGCCAGGGGCCGGGGGAAGTTTTCTACTGGTAAAGGCGAAAGAAAGAAAGAAAGAAGAAGAAGATGGTGAAGGAGAAAGAGGGAATGTGGATGGAATAGTGGACCCAACCAGAGGGTGAATGAACAAGTTGTGGTGGGGTAATTCCACGTCGTGTGACACTATAGTAGTTTCTTGAGAGAGATGGTAAAGTTAGAAACATTTTTTATTACTTACAAACTAAAATAAATTTGTTATTTGAATTTGAGGATATCCCCCAAGTAAATAATATATTTTAAATAATTTTAAAAATAAAAATTCAAAATACAAATAACAAATTTTACCCGTTCATGTTTTATTTTTTTATTGTTTTTTTGAATTTCCTAAACACAAACACTATCGTTTTTTTTGGGAGAGGGAGTGTAGATAACATTGCTAAAAGAGCTAACGGGTGTGGTGTGGACTGTGGACATGATTGGGCCATAAATGGTGACAATGGGAGATTTTTCCTTTTTTCTATAACTAAATATCATATTGATAGTCTTTTTTTTATGAATATCTTTTTACAAATACTCTTTTTTAAATAAAAAATTGTCATGTTGATATTAATTTAAATAAAGAATAAAAATGAAATTTCACAATAATCATATATCTTTCATATCACACTCAATTTCGAAGGCCGTTTTTTATGTCTCCACCAATCCCTTAAGGGCGAATTGGGTTCAAGGGTTCAACTCTTAGATGTTATAAAAGGTCTTTTAAAAAAATTGATTTTAGGTGTTTGTTTGAGTTACTCTGGCAATGTAATACTATTCAACTAGTATCAATCCCGTGCTTCGCACAGGCTCACATATATTCTAAATTTTGACATCTAAAACATAAAATATCATTTATATTAAATTCTTTAATAATGATATATGATGTGTTTGATAAATAATTTCTAACTATAAAATATCTCCTTTGAGAAAAAAAAGTTTAGTTTTAATATTGATGTACATGTATTAAAATTTATATAAATATTTATTTTGGGATGTACTCCGTAATAAAAGGGAAAATAATGAATAGTTTATGAAAAGCCACATCAAGCTTTCTTTTTTAAAAGATTAATAAAGCTTATAAAATCTTTTTTAGATTTATAACTAATTATGTTTAGTGGCGGGACTTTTTTATTCCGTAAATAGTATTTGAATAATGTCTAGTAGCGAGAACAATGTCCAGTGATGGTGGACATTTAGTTTGAATAATGCCCAGTGACAGAGGACATTTACTGGAACAATGACCAGTGGGCAATGACTAGTGGTACTACATTGGAAAATAAAAATATATGGTACTACATTGGAAAGTCACTATATTTTAATACTATTTAGGTAAATTCTCCTAAAATAAATAATGTAATAAGACAAAAATTTGAAATATATCATGAAGTTAACAAAGTTGTATGTGTGATTACATATAATAGTTTTTTTAAGATGATGGATAATTTTTAAAATTATAAGATACATTGTTTTTTAATTAATAAATTTATATGTTTTTGTATTATAAAATAGTCGCGTATATTTAAAAAATATGTTAAAAAAAATCTTAAATAGTTAGAAAGTAAAAATTTTATTAAAAAATATAAAAATAAGGGTTTTTATTGTTGGAAAGTGAAGGGTTTATAAAATATAATAAAAATAATGATTTAATACAAAATTGAGTGTGCATATGTGGAGTGACATGTGTCTTGTGATTTACACGTGGCATGACACATGTCAGTAATGTGCACGTGTGGCATGACACGTGTCATCACCACAACTAAGTAACTCTATTTTACATAAGATATATAGGATTGGCAAAGATTTTTTTTGAAGTATGAAAGATTGAGTATTTAAAAGAAAGCTGTGTAATTGTTTTAAAAGTCATTTTAAATGAATTGAGAACGGCTTAGAAGTCATTTTAAATGAATTAAGTTAAGCTATAATTACAAAATGATTGGCAAAAAGAAAAACTTACACCTAATAGTAGTAGGATAGTGTAAAGAATTTAGTATAATGGTACAAAGAATTCTCTTTTTTCAATTGGCAAACTTATTGTATTTTTAGTCTCTAATTAAATTAATGGGATAATAGCATGGGTGGTCCCCGTGGTTTACAAAATGAGCGCTAAAACTCCTTCTACTTTCAAATGTAATTTATAACACCCCTATGGTTTTTAAATAGTGCATCGACGCCCCCTTTTGCCCATTTTTAGACATGAAATCACATTTCTATCCTTAGTTTTTCTCTATCTTCAAATTTCAATCTTTTATTTGCATTTTTTTTATAAAAATAAATAAAATAAAAAAAACGTCCTCTTTCTCAAATTGAAATTTTTCATTTATTTAAATTTCAAAAAAATAATTTTTTTAGAATATGTTACAAAAAATTGAAAAATTAAAAAAAAATAAAATAAAATACACTTTTTCATTATAAGTAAAAGTAAAATAAATAAAATAGAAAATTAGATAACTTATACTCAGTCTATCTCTAATTAAAAATTCTAAGTTATTTATTTTTTAAAAGTAAAATAATTTTTTAAGGACTTTAAAAAATGAAGAACAGAAAGATAAAATAAAAGATGGAGTTAAAGAAAAAGACTATTTTTTATATTTTTATTTCTTTTAATTACCTTTTTCAATTATTGTTTTTACTTTGTACATAATATTTTATACGGAGTATTTCATTTTCTTTTGTAAAATTCTCCAAAAAAATATGTTGTTTTCAAAAGTACATTATGAAAAATTCTAATTTGAGATGGGAAACGTATATTCTATTTTATATATTTGTATAATAAAGGAAAATAAAAATGGAAAAATTTAAGATCGTAGAAAAGAAAGGGCATAAATATCATTTTTGCTTTAAAAATAGTCATGGGGGGAAGTGTGCTCTATTTAGAAACCATAGAGACTTTATAAATGTGAAATTTGCACTGAATAGGACTAAAACATAAGTCATTTCCCAATTTAGGATTTAAACTTTTTTATTCCATAAATAGAACTTAATAATGACCAGTGTGAAGAATAATGTCCAAGTGATGCTGGACATTTAGTTGAATAATGACTAATAGATAATGACCAAAGGACCTACATTGGAAAATAAAAACATATGGTCATATATTAAGAAAGTCATTATGTTTTAGTCCTATTTAGGTAAATTACCAACCCTTAAATTCTGATTAGAAAATAGTAATTGAGAATTTTACCATTGATGTGAGATTTTGATTGTGTTAATTACTCACACACTTACTGGTGAATTACACCACAATAATTGAGACTTTGAAATACTCTTGGAATGAACCTACAAATATGCCCAAAATACTTAATTTCTTAAAACATGTGCATGGACCTTCTCTTTCTGGCATCTTGCTCATCTTGTGACATCTTTAATTACCTCTCTTAACACACTCTTGATCACCCCTTGAGAACACAATTTAAACTTTCAACCTTTTGACATTTAATTAAATATAGTTTATAAAGTATATCGATTAGATAAAATAATATTTTAAAATTATTATATAAAAATCTAATAAAATTACTTTTGTACTAATTTCTAATACGTAGTATTAATTTTATTTAATTAGTGGTCAAAAGTTGTCAATTTTAAACTGCAAAAATTTAAAACTGGATAAACGCTCAGGGACGGAGGGAGTATATCCGATTTCCTTTTATAGACTTTCTAAAAAACATTTTTCCCTTATTTTTTTCAACGAATCAATTCAATCAAATAATCTATTTTATTGTTTTAGTCCTACGAAGAGTTTTTATATGTTCACTTACGTACACGCGGGGAAGTTTGAACTCGACACTGATTTTATCAACATGACTCTGATACATATTAAGAAGTCAATTCAATCAAAGCTCAAACTTATGGTTAGTGTATTAAAAATAATTTTAGATTCTAATATTTATTAACATTAGCATTTTGGATAAAATTTTAGCAGTGGAGATTAATTTTGAAAATATTAAACAAAAAAGTGTTGTTGAAACTTAATGGTATAGATGAATTTTTAAAAAATTAAAAGAAAAAGTATACTGCGAGGGAGTATAATCCCAACGGCAGGGGGCAGGGGGTTTTGGAGGATTAGAAGGTAGGAATCATCAAACTTACCAACGGAACACCGTATGTGCCCAAATAATTTTAAGGTCAATAATATTATCAAAGTCAAAAAAACCGTTGTGTTTGAAATATGTTTTAAAGATAATATAGTTTAAACTATTTTAGCGGCATGAGGCGAGCAACGTAAGGTGGCAGTTAATAGAATTTAGGATGGATATGGACAATTGGATTGGGCAATAAGACACTTGGGCTGAACCACATTAAAAGATTGAATCCAATCGATTAGTTAGTTCAACTCTAGAGCTTATATACCGATTATTTTCTCTTGGATTTTCCAATGTGGGATGTACTCTAACACTCCCCCTCAAGTGGACAACCGGGCCATTTTGAATCTAACCGGTTGACCACTTGCAAATAAACTCTCATTCTCGTGTTAAACGGGCCACAGGCCGTTGGGTACATACCCCATACGGACAACTGGGCTAAAGACTAACGGGCCATTAGGAATGAACGTCTAGACGGACACCTTGACAAACGAGGTGGGCCAAAACCTGCTCTGATACCATGATAGAATTTAGGATGGAGTATGGACAACTAAATTGGGTAATAAGACACCTGGGCTGAACCACATTAAAAGATTGAATCCAATCGATTAGTTAATTCAACTCTAGAGCTTATATACCAATTATTTTCTCTTGGATTTTCTGATGTGTGATGTACTCTAACAGCAGTATTGGCGCGAGGTAGAGGGGCAAGCGCTAGGGGCGGATGACACCGAACAGATTGACGAGTGGCGGATAACATTGGAGGATACAAGTCAGATGGCTCGAGTGGGTGGGATTGGGGTGACAAAGGACAGACGGGTGGGTGTAGACAGAATGAGGGATAAGAGTGGTACAGTGGGGTTGACGGGGTGGCAGGGTTGGAAGGAGGCACGGTAGGGGTAACAGTTGGGGCATTGGGGGTGGCGGATGGA